ATGAAATAATTATCATGATTAAACAATAATTCCCCTTTGTTGTGTTTTTTTCCTGTTCCTTCTGAAATCACTTATTACCAATATTTGTAAATGACGTCATTAAGTACGTTACAATGAATTCTTTCAAGGTTAAATAAATTAACTTAGCTAACTTCCAATCACCCATTGACAAATTACCAGCAAAACAAAACTATCAAAAACTGTTATCAACACAAAAATGTGGTTAAAAACCCACACTTATGTAAAACAAGAGCTCAATTGTAACGTAAACAACTTAACGTTAGCTCTTCTGAAAACGGTTCAGTCAGATGCTAACGGACTTTATCGAAGACACAAAACTATTTCTATAAAGTAAATATTCAACAGAAGTGTATCAATTACACGTAAGACATATATCAGGAAGGTTTGTATGTATTATTTGTGTGATTTTGGTAACTAGACTTACCTGAAAGCAGAGAAAACAACAGTGAGAGACGCTAGTTTGCTGTTTGTCAGTTGATGGGTTTCCTCGTTTCCATGGTTTCCATCTGCTCGCGCGCGCTCCTGTCTTTGAATCAGATTTGAATGCGACTCGCGCACGTACGCACGTATATTGAAACCATAGAACACGTCAAAAGGCACGCAGCATTTAAATAAACATCTAGAATTATAACATTTAACAATTTAAAATATCTTTAATTTTATATAATGAATTTAAACTCATTGTGTAGTTCTATGACCCATTCAGTTGACAATTATGCTTTTTAATACCATTTTGCTTTTACTTTTATTGTAAAGCAATTTCATGACATCTGTATTATATAAAGGCCTACATGTAATATAAAGAGCAACGTGTAATATAAATATGTAACATAAAGTGTGGAATGAAACTGCAACAGGCCCGTAATTTCATTACCATCTTTATATAAAGAGTGCTTTCTTATTCTCTTATATATATATATATATATATATATATATCTTAAAAAAATAAAACATTTTTAAACAATTTAAATATATATATATATATATATATATATATATATATATTTAAATTGTTTAAAAAAAATTTTTTAAGAGAATTAAAATTACCAAGTTATTAGTGCTTTCTTATTCTCTTTATATATATATATATATATATATATATATTATTAGTGCTTTCTTATTCTCTTAATATATATATATATATTGATTAGAGGACGTACTGACGACATTGTGGGCATGTGGGCAAATCTAAATGTGGGCTACCTAAACTAAACCCGCATGGGCCCAAAGGTGCAAAACCTGCTCATGGGCCCGAATGGGATGGCCCACAGTGGGCCATCATGGGCTTAATGTGGGCAGCCCGCTAGTGTGGGCTGCTCACTGATAGCCCGCAGTGAGCCCAAAGCTGTGGGCCTCGTCTGGGCAACCCGCACTGGGCCTGTTTAGGTTTGGCGTGGGCTGGCCCTAGCCCACTGTGCCCACAAAAAGCCAGCGTCGGCCCCGCAGGGGCATGTTTGCAGGGACGTTTCTCTTCCTCAGAGTTGTGCCTGAACGCGTTCAATGAACGATAGTGCATGAACGCGTTCATATACTGTATTACCGCCTGATAAACATTACTGTGAACACGTTCATTCTGGTGTCTGTGAACGTGCGCTCTCTGTCAGTTTAACTTCGTACAGTAGGGTGCCAGATTGATTTCTATAGAGCCTTCCAGGCGAAAACCTGGCTAAAATCATGTATACATGCCTTAAAATGTAGCGAAAAAACACCCAATCTGGCAACACCAGCCACCAGTGTCGCACCGCGGCCACCGGTGACAAAGCAAGGAGCGCCGAGGACGCGCACTATCAATTAAACGGGTTTTATGACTAGGTCGGTGAGGATCAGAAAAATCTTACATTTATGTGCAAACTTTGCACGTCGATAAAATAATTGTTGTCTGTGTTGTGGGCTGTGGCAATAATAATAATAATAATGAAACAAAAGCTCGAAATAATATGGAAAAAAAAACTATTCCGCAAACAACAAGTGACGTCGTTGACTGTTGATTACTCTTCTGCGCATGCGGGTCACTTCTGGGTCATTTCACGTTCACACAGATCACAAAAGGTCGCATTTAATTGAAAATGTGAACGGCCGTGCAAAAAAATCGAATTTTTTCAAAAAATCGGAATTGAGCATTAAGCCCTGCAGTGTGAAGGTAGCCTTAGCGACTCTCTGAGCCAGCTGATAAGTTACACTTTTGCCGAATCATGTAGGAAGGACGGCAAAAATATCTTTCCGATCGACAAATGCCTTGATTGCAGTTTTCTGTTTGTCTATTAAAATGAATGTGCTGTCGATTTATTTTTCAACAGACGCGACAGCAGAATCTATACATCTCAATTCTCCAGCTGCAGTCATCTTTGAGGGAAACCAGTTAAGCGCTCTTTGATAATGTGATGATGATTACGTCCTTTTTCCATGTATTAAAAATGTTTTAGTAAAACATAATTTACAGTAGGCAAATATTGCTGTTAATTATCATATATTATTGGTGTACAGAAATAAAAAGTGTTAAATAATAATCTTTAGTTTGGTCAAAATAGTATCATTTTGTAAAAATAGTGTTTAACATGTCTTTATTGATGGTTTCTCAAACTCGGTCCTGTAGGGCCGCTGTCCTGCAGAGTTTAGCTCCAACCCTGATCAAACACATTTACCTGTGAGTTTCTAGTGATCCTGAAGACCTTGATTAGCTTGCTCAGGTGTGTTTGATCAGGGTTGGAGGTAAACTCTGCTGGACAGCGGCCCTCCAGGACCGAGTTTGAGAAACCCTGGTTCAAACGGAAATCTAACAACTACCCAGGACACCCTATCTATTTGTCAATCTGTTTGTTTTGTGATGTCAAAAATATCGTTATTTCGGTTAATGCAATTATGCATTGATGCTGAAATATCTTAAGCTGTTCCTCTCTCCTCTCCGACAGCACATTGACACGCACCCGCCTCCTCTCACTCATTCGCTCCAGTTGAATATTGCTTGTATTGCACATTGTGTTAACATAATTCCCAGAGGTTTCGCACTCACACCAAAAGCGCACACACCAGTGATCTATACACGAGAACCCTCTTCGCACACCTTGACAATAGAACCGCCATTGGCTAGTACATTTTTTGTTTGTTTACTCAACAGACTGATAAACTATTTTACGTGTGTTTGTGTGTGTGTATGTATATATATATATATATATGAACGATATGGTGCCTGAGAGGTGCTAAACAAATCACAATAATTAGAGCATATTAACATATTAACAAATCTATAAACACAATGGCAAGTCTAAAAACTAATTAAGAAGTAGAACGATTCATTGGACCATTTTTCCTGACGGTGCGACCAAGTTTTTGTTGGCAGTCATGCTGTCGTGACCACAATGTTGCCCAACATCAAATGGCAAACGTAATGAAAGGGAGCGGACCGTGAATGCACCAATCGGGATCAAGCTACACAGCGCTAAGAGATCCAGTAAAGAAAGCATTTGAATTCGCCACAGAAATTATAACATCCACAATATAATATATATTGTCTCTATCCACAATACATATTTCCAATTTTTCAAGTATTTTCTTCATTTTTAAAAAAAAATAAATGCCTTTACGATCTGATTTGTCATGGGAAAAGAGAGAATGGCGAGTTCTACCAGGGGTGGGATGGTGTGGTGTGGGTTCCAGATTTATATAGTGGCTTTTTGCTTTGTATTTTTGTATTTCTTGAATTTAAAAAAAAAGAAAACTCAAAAAAAAAAAAATCCATACATGTACGAATAAATGTACTATCATTCATATATATCATCCAGCCCTACTAGAAGTAGTTTCAGTAGTTTGGGGTCACATTACTTCATGGCTTTGTCTGCCTAAAAGAACAGTTTTGATAACTGGTTGGGTAAATAATATAAGACTTCCCCATATTTAGCAATGTAGGTTTTCCCCAAAAAGCCTTTCCTGCTGCTCAGCGCTTCCACAAACTGTGTTAACCCTGACATGCTTAGGCTTTACGTAAGAAGGTTGATTCAGGATCTGGAACTGTGGAATCAAGCCGTTCCTTACCGGAAGGACAGGTTTTAGAGTAGTGTGTCCGTGACTTGATCACATGCTGATGATGCTGTGAGCAGTTTCAGTCCAAACTGCATTTCACATTTTCAATAGAGGACGTGAGTGAGTGATTCAACTATTATTATGCAATGGACTTCTTGCACTACTTCTGCGTTCTACTTATTAATACATCTCAGAGTTTCCGGTAACAGCATTCAGCGCACACCTACATACATTACTACTACGTTTATTTATAACTGTCAATTTATTAAAACAATTAATTATGTTCTATGCGTTAACATGAATTATCTAGACTTGATCCTTTTGAAATGTTCTTATGGATAAATTTTCTTTTCAACTGTGCATTCTGAATAAGAAATAAATATACTTCCTCCTTACTAACCTTTAGCAGTCCAGTGCTTGTCTTCTCATTAAGTGTTTCTCTCTTACTGATCATATTTCATACCTGTTGAGTTTACAGTTTTAAATGAATTAGACTGATAAAAATGATTGCTTGTGTGTGCTTGTCAAGTCACCTTTATTTATATAGCACTTTTTACAATACAGATTGTTTCAAAGCAGGAAAATAATGCAACAAAGTTTGTTTCCAAGTTATTAATTTACTTTGTTGTTATTTATATACTATATTATATTTATATATCGCTTTTCTAGGTACTCAAAGCGCTTCACATGGAATGGGGAATCTCCTCAACCACCACCAATGTGCATCTGCAGAACGTGGTTTACATAAATGTAACAATGTTTAAGTAATCTTAAAGAGTAAACACACAAGGACCCGATTACAGCGGACAAAATTAGTCTTCTGTATTTTTTTTTCCTTTTTTTATCAGATAAGCTGCACATTAATGTTGCTTTTAGGCGTGTGCTTTGGTTTTAATTATGTGGCAGACTTTGTAATCAGTCAGTTGTTGTATGTTTAGATATTCATTTTTTTCTCCCAACAGAACCATCATGCTTCATGCGCTTCACCGCTTTACAACAAGCCGTTTGCCGAGTCGTTTGAGGAGACGCCACTACTGGTGGCCGTCCTCACTTACGTGGGCTACGGCATCCTTACCATTTTTGGCTATCTGCGAGATTTCCTGAGGGACTGGAAGTTTGAGAAGTGTCATCTGGCCAGAGAGAGAGAACAGCAGAAGGTAGAGTTAAAAGAATCAAGATTTGCTTTGATTGTTTGTAGCGCTTTGCTTATTAATAAGAATTGCAAGTTTTTCAAATTTATTTAGTTTTGCGCTTTAATAAGTTATTTCACATAACAGATGTTAAATAAAGTCAAAACAAAATGAATATACACACAATTCCCCTGTTCAAAATTTTAACATGATTTTTGTCACCTGAATGTGATAGTTGTTCATGAGTCCCATGTTTGTCCCGATCAGTTAAACTGTCCACTGCTCTTTATATAAATCCTCAGGGTTGTTTGAAACATTTCCAGTAGTTATTGATTTTGAGATCAATCTTTTACATTGAGGGACTGTAAATAATGATGTTCGAGAAGGCAACAGGCTAAAATTGTCTTCTGGGAAACATGTAACTATCTTATGTAGCTTTTGTAGAGCACTACTAAACAAAAAATAAGTAGTTGTGGTCAAAATAAGAACAATTTACCTCAGTCACCATGTTCAAAAGTTATTATATTGTTCTTTTGTTGCTGTGTTCACAGGATTTTGTTCCACTGTACCAGGACTTTGAGAACTTCTACACTAGGAATCTGTACATGAGGATCAGAGATAACTGGAACAGGCCCATATGCAGCGTCCCTGGAGCCAAGATGGACCTGGTGGAGCGGGTCACACCTGACTACAATTGGACCTTTGAGTGAGTTTTAAATTGTGGCTACGCTAGCATATGATCCAGTCTACCAGATCCCGTCAGAAAACTTCTATTTGTCTGAAATCTAAAACTTTAGTCTTATCCCCCAAACCAGTTAAATGCAAGTTTGTCTGATTTCCAAACTAGTCAACAGTAAACATAACCAGAGTTTATTAAAGGATCTTTCAGTGCTCAGTCTGACTTCGTCTGACCACTATAAATTCGACAAGTGTTATTTTACCAAACCAAAGTCAATGGAAAATGACTGCTTTACAACATCATGCCATGACGTTAAAACCTTGACAGGGCTCGACAGCTTGAAAGACACACATGGCGCGTGCCCAGAACGCAGCATCTCACAGCGGGAATACTCTTGCATGTCTTTCTGAGCTTGCACAGGCATACTCACACAAAATTGTCCATCTTGTCGAGTATCATCGTAAACATAGTCGGTTATGTCTTAGGTGAACTTAAACGTGAGATAAGATGCATGTGTAACCGTGCATGTGTTATTGTATCCGTGCAGCTCTTAAAGTGACAGCATCCTAATATTCCTGTTGCTGACTTATTATGTGTTATTCAAACAAAAGACTGAGAAAAGCACTCACTGCTCTTGACTGAATAACTGTGATAAGGTTTTATTTATATTTATGAAGTGATATTTTATAGTTCATTACTATTTCTGTACCTCAAAATCTATTTTTGACCTGCATCAAAAACCTGAAAAGAACTGTTTATTTCATTTTTATATGTTTGTTCTGTTGTATTTATTTTTGCTATTGCTCACAATTGGATTTTTTCCCCTATTTTATTACTGTCTGTCTTTAACAATATTGAAAAAAGTATATTAAAGCTTGTAGTTTTGGTGTCATAACCTTATTTATTAAGATTACATGGATCAAAGGCAAGTAAAACTATAACTAGGCCTATTTTATTTTATTTTATTAGTAATTAATTCTTTTTTTTTTTTTTTTTAGTGATGGGCCTATTTTGGCAGGGCAAGTAAAAATTTTAACCACTGGCCCGACCGGGCCACTTGAGATGGAGACTTAGAGCACAACATAATGAACATTATATAAAATAATTTAAAAGAGTATATATATCTGGAAAGTACATTTACATTTATGGATTTGGCAGACTCATTTAATCCAAAGCGACTTGCGTTGCATTTCAAATTCCACATTTACATTATTATTGAAAAAACCAAGATAGACCTGGTGGAGTCAGGTCACACCTGACTACAACTGGACTTTTGTGTAAGTGTTAAATTATGCCTAAGCCAGGATATGATTCATTCTACCAGATCCTGTCAGAAGACATCTGTTTGTCTGAAATCTAAAACTTTAGTCTGATACCCTATACGTACTTTTACCCTAAAAGTAATGAAGCTGAAAATACAAAACAGCAGGAATGGATACATTTGTCATCTTCGTTTTTATTTTTCACGATGCATTATTTTACTTCGCTTCAGCTATGGTAATAAGACATCCACATTTGGGGGCGGAGCAATGAAGGGAGGGGTTTGTTTGTTTGGGTTGATTTCAAATATCAACAGTGTTTCTCAGAAATCGCTTACTGCACCTTTAAAGGTGATGTCTGTCATTGTTATTAGTGTTAGAATTAATTAGTATTTTTCAGATGCTCAGGTTATTCCATGTTCTTTCCTGCAGACACACAGGCAAGGTTCTGAAGGATGTTATTAATATGGGCTCGTATAACTACCTGGGCTTTGCTGAGAGCTCCGGCACATGCGCCGACGCTGCCTCTGAGTGCACTGTGAAATATGGCGTGGGGGTGAGCAGCACCAGGCAGGAGATGGGTAATAAATCTCTCTCAATCTTTACGGCCGTTACTTCTCTGCTTTAATAGGGGACAAATAATGGTCTGACACTTTTTTGGGGTAGGTTTTAAGGGACCATATACTTGGTCCTCTTATAATATTAATCTAGACTTTGTCCTTAATTTCACGTTGTCATGATAATTTTATTTTATACCCTCTCACTGACCCTTAGAATACTTATTCATGTATTCAGTTCTTGTTAGAGTCATTCGGATGGGATGAGGATATGCTTTTATGGTGAAATGGTGGAAAAGAAATGTGTAGCACTATGAAAGACTCTTATTTCTTACCAGACCTTTGTCATTGTTTCTCTGCAACTTCTTTGGAGGTAGAGAGCTAAGAAGCTGATTTTCATCACTTATTTTTTTTTTAAACGTGTTGCTTTTTAAGGCATAGTTCACCCCAAAAAAATAAAATTCTGTTCCTTTACTGTCATTTACTCACCCTCAAGTTGCTGCAAAACTGTATGAGTTTCTTTCTTCTGCTGAGTACAAAAGAATATATTCTGAAGAATGGCGGAAAACAAACAGTTGACGGTAGCCTTTGTCAATGGGGCCCTTCAACTGTTTGGTTACCCATATTCTTCAAAATGTCTTATGTTGTGTTCAGCAGAAGAAAGAAACTCGTATGGAACAACTTGAGGGTGAGAAAATGATGACAGAATTTTCTTTTTGTGTGAACTACGCAATTACTCAATGCTAATTCTTAATCAAAACTGTGCTAATTAATGAACAAATAGATTTTAAATAACAAACCAAACATTTTTTTACATTGTTTATAAATGGCTTGTGTGAACTGGGGAGTTTTGAGTCGTTAATATTGAAGTACGATGCCTCCATCATGGATCTTTATGATAATAATGGGACTTTATTTGTGTTGGAAATGTTGCGTCATTGAGATATTTGTTATCTCTTGTAGGAAATCTTGACAAGCACGAGGAGCTGGAGAAGCTGGTGGCCAGGTTTTTAGGGGTGGAGTCATCCATGGTGTTTGGAATGGGCTTTGCTACAAACTCCATGAATATTCCTGCGCTGACGGGAAAAGTAAGGGTATTACTATAAGCTCAAACATTAAATCAAATGGAATGCTACGAATTTCCTTTTGACTTCAAAACAAAGCAGGGTGGGAAGGAACATTGGGGTTTGGCCGTTCTGTTGTTTTTTATTGAAATACTCCCACTGGCCATATCTGATCCTTGACATATTTATTTGGCTCACACTGGTATTTTGTCACGTAACATGTTCTTGTTCTAGTGTTTATTACACACATTCCTGGTTTCATTCACAAAAGATTTGATTACTTTTGATTAACATTCCAACTTGTCCTGCCAAATACAAAATGAAACAATTTTTCCCCCTCCTGGAAATCCTGTTAAATCAGGAAAAGTTACTTTAGTGGGCTTCAAAAATACACATTGATTTTGAATCCAGGATACTAAATGTAATATAATTATGATGTTACATACATTTCCATTGGACTAAAGGTAAGGCAATAAAAACAAGAGTTTCATAAACTTTAAAAACATTGTTGTTTCAGAACTCAAAACTTCCAAAAGGGACATTTATTGTAACTTGAGTTTCAAAACTCTTTCTGAAAGTTTAGGACTCGAGTACATTGACACATGACTTTCCATGTCATGACCCTTAATCTGTCTTCGGAAACTTGACTCATCTTGTCATTGTAAAGTAATGAGGAAGTACAGATACCATTATATCTAAACACCAGAAGAACTAATACAAATTAAAGGTACAACTTTTGTGCCTTTAGCTGTTAAAAAACAAAACTGCATGCATTTTATGAATATGCGTAAGAACACTGTTTAGGTTGTGCTTTGGCTCTGCGTGACTCTGCAGATGAATATGGGTTTTTCTCATAATTAAAAAAGAGAGAGATTATCCTACTGCTCATAAAACATTCACTACTAGAGGTATAACCAGTTTAGATTAAAAATATCTCAAGCTGACTTTACTGCACCTATACCTGTTTATAGACACGGTACCTTGAAAATAAATTCCAGCACATCTGTACAACAACAATAATAATGAAATGTCCCTTTACAAAAGATCACGTGTTACAGTGAACTTTGTTAAAGAGCTGCTTATGACAATCTGTCTGTTCAATAAAATACTTTACTCACCTGTTGAGTAATAACATTCACAGGCGAGTGACGCATGTACGCAATTTCCCAAGAAATCCATCCCGCCCAGTCACACTTTTAATAGGCTTACCATAGTGAATTAGGGTAATACAAAAACACGTTTTGGAAAAAGGGTTGATGATGTACAGTATTTGCTCATTATTAACAAAAAAGTTACGTATGTCAAACCTTGTGCTGTTACTGGTCATGTGTAGCACCTGCAACTCTGCATATTCTTCTGAAGAATCCCAGTTTGCTGATTATTTGAGTAATCTACTGAGATTTATCTTTATCTTATCTTAGATTTATCTGAGATTTATTAACTTAGCACTGTGGACTTCAGCCAAGCGCTTTAGTGTTATTTAATGTGCATTCTTGCTTTTCATTCAAATGAATGTGTGTGTATGTGTTTGTGTTAGGGCTGTCTGGTCTTAAGTGATGAGCTCAATCATACGTCTCTGGTTCTGGGTGCCCGAATCTCTGGCTCTACCATCCGTGTATTCAAACACAACAGTAAGTTCATGCAATTGTTTTGCCCACACTGAAGGTAAAAGCAAAACAATCAGAGCCAAATTGGATTATATTTAATGTTATACAGGATCGTGGACCACTCCCTCATTACTGAACACTTTTGGTTGCGGAATAAATGAATCATAGGTGATACCTGTGAATATGCCTTTTGACAATATTAATGAACCTCTGAGAAAACAATGCAATAAAATGAAGCCTTGCTTTGTTTTGTAAGCTGTTCGCTAAGAACAGCATCTGCAAGTTAAGAAGGCTGGTCATACATATACATTTTTTAAAGGGACACTCCACCTATTTGCATTAACCTTTCCATTGTTAGAAACCTATCTATTGAATGGTCGTGCAACACTCTCATTTTCCCTTGAGACGAGAGAAATCTGCTATTTACATTTTTCACTTCCTCCTACAATGATGCAAAAATCGTCATTTTACGTCATTGTAGGAGGAAGTGTGTGTGGGGGGGTATCTGTAAAGACTACAAGCACTAGTTCCCACCCTTTCAAAACCGTCCATAGGGGGTTGGGCCTAATGCACTAACAGACCTATCACAGATCAGTGCCAGTGCGTTTGATTTCACCGGCAGAAACTTTTTGAAAATATGGACGAAGGTACTGAATACGCAGACGGATGCATTATGGATGATTGGGATTACACATAGTGTCAGCCATCTTTTTTGGGAAGCTAAGCTAGCAGGCTCTTGTTCTGTGGAGAAAGCAGAGTAGTAGGGGTTACCGTCCTCTTTTTCCCGGACATGTCCGGCCGTCGATGTCCGGGATTCAGCTTTTGCTTTCTGCAGTCGCCATTCATTGTTTACATGTACAGCTTTTGTTTCAATCTAACTGAATTCATTCTGATTGGTGAATCTGAATGTAGTGTTTACATGAGCGCTAAACGAGTGATCGGTTGATGTGCGTTTTAACATTGCTAAGAAAATTCCCGCTCCTCCGTGAGAGAAACGAGACAGGTGCGTCTCACAGGTGTTGATCATCGGTAATCACGCCACCGGCCTCGCACCGTTCTCCCGCGGCCCTCACTCGTCCTGCTCGCCACAGTAAACATGATGAATGGCGAGTGTAGATCGCAAAAGCCGAATCCTGGTTATTTTGGGTAATCTCGAAACACATTTTCGGGCAGACTCACTCATCACGGAGACTCACTAGTAGCCTAGACTTGTTAAACTACTGCGCTCTGTTACCGGTAGGCGTGGCCTCTTAGGGCAGCGAAGCAAGTGCATTCTGGGAGTTGTTGTCTTTCATCCGCATAAGCCAAAAATACATTTTCTGGCTTTTCTCAGTCTAGAAAGCTCCAAATTCAAAAATAATTTCACATTTCTTCTACATGAATTACCCATTTTAAATACACATTCATCTTTCCAGAGCTGGAATGACCCTTTAACCATTACTTTCAGATATGCAGAGTCTGGAGAAGTTGCTTCGGGATGCTATCGTGCACGGCCAACCTCGAACCCACCGGCCCTGGAAGAAGATCCTCATCCTCGTTGAGGGAATTTACAGGTACAGGAGATGTCTTTTCAGGCTTGAGCAGTGACCTGATGTGTTTTGTGCAAAAGCGTATGCAAAGGGAGGCTGGTTTGCATACTTTTTCTGGCTTAGAGGAAGGCCATTTTGTCTAGAAATTGCCAGGGGCAAGCATTAATAATAATGATATCATATTTAGCACATGCACATTGTAATGGCAGAAGAGGATGGGATGGGACAATGTAAAAAATAAAGCTGAAATGTAAATTTAAGTTACCATTTATATAATCAGTGAATTTTCAAATCTTTTGAAAATATTGTTTACTTCCTGGCTATCAAATAGCTCAAAAGAACAACATCATAAAGACTCCATTTTCACATATTGCAATATCTAGTCTATCTATGAGTATGCATTAATGTTACACCTGACCTGCGTTCTTCTTTTTCTTAGCATGGAGGGCTCAATAGTACGACTTCCTGAGGTCATTGCCCTAAAGAAAAAGTACAAAGCTTACCTGTACCTGGATGAGGCCCACAGTATCGGGGCACTAGGACCAAGAGGCAGAGGTGTGGTGGACTACTTCGGCCTGGATCCATCTGACATTGACATCATGATGGGCACTTTCACCAAGAGCTTTGGTGCTGCTGGAGGATACATCGGAGGAAAGAAGGTTTGTCCACACAGTTTAAGCTGTCAATCCAAAAACCTGAGTTTATAAATGGCGTAATGAATAATTCCCACTCTCTTTTTTTATAGGAGCTGATCGATTACCTCCGGGTACACTCTCACAGTGCAGTTTATGCTACCTCAATGTCCCCACCAGTCACCCAGCAGATTATTGCTTCTATGAAGTGCATTATGGGAGAGGATGGCACCACATTAGGTGAGTTTAGAATTTTAATATAGTTCTGATAAATATTACTTGGGTGGAATAATCTTTGTGTGGGTTTTATTCAAAATAATATCTGTAATATAATAGTCAAACCAAAATTTATTTAGACACCTTCAGCATTTTTCACTTTATAACAGTTCATTCGCTATAGTTTAGAAAATGGTAATACAATATGACAAGATCTCACTGGTTTTGGCCATCCTTCTGTTAGACTGTCTCACAAATGAATAAGGTTGAATAGCTGTCGGCTGATAAATTTAAGTGCACAATTAGATCAACCAATTACATAGCAATGCTTAATTTTGTTCAGTCTGTGGTGTAAAAAGGTCACATTAGCAATTAAAGAAAAACACTTTAGCAAAACTTGGTCAGGTCAAAGTGTCTGAATAAATTTTGGTGTCAAATTTTTATAAATGTCACTGGTAGTCACTGTATGAAGAATTTTTAAGTATAATATGTCACAATTACTTAATTATGCTATCCTCACTTACATAAATGAACTAGTGTCCTGCACCCACTAGTAAAAAATATAGAAACATTATGTCTGCTGTCTGAATACTTTTTGGTTTGACTGTACCTAATGTTGTAGTTATAGTGTAATTGTACATTTATAGTATGTGTAATGTCAAAAAGAGCCAGTAGATGGCAGCATTAACTCAGAAAACTGTTGAAAAATTCTGTGTCCTATTACATAAACAAGGTCCAGTTGTTCAAATAGTTTAAGTTGGATCAGATTAATCCAGACGTGGAAATCCCATGTTTTGCAGGATCAGGTCAAATCCATCTTACTTTTGTGCTGGTTTTTCAAAGTGAAATAGGATTAGATCACCACCTTTTCAGATAACCATATATGGATTTACCCGTGCTAGGCTGCGAGCTATGTAAAGAACTATAAGTGTTTCATTTGAAGAGAGAGAAAAAAAATACAAACAAACATCTTCCTCCTTTTTCAATTTTCTTTAAACAGTCAGAGCCATACAGAGACACTAAAGGGACATGATGATGGGAACAAATATATGAAATGGGAGAAGAATTATATATTTGAATGCTTTATCATTTTTTGGCAAAAAGTTTTGCATTCCCCCAAGAAACTTTGCACTCATTGGCAAAGAGCAAACGTATTGAGAGTAACGTATTTGTATTATACACAAACACACAAGAAAGTACATAGGTGAACAGCATGTGACCCAAAGGATATCATGCAACAATGTTTCTTATAATAATAATAACTTTATTTATATAGCACTTTTAAGTGCTTCACAAGAGGCAAAAAACAAGAAGTCGAGCATTACTAAATATAAAACCAAGAGCATACTAAAACAAAATACATAAAAATAAAATAAAAACCCACAAGAATCTAAATACTTTACAAAGTAGTAAAAGCTATTCCATAACATTGGTGCCTTCACTACAAAAGCTCTATCACCTTTTTATTTATATCTAAATCTTGGAACAGCCAACAATCCATGATTTAAAGATCTGAGACACCTGAATGTTTCATGAGATCTTAAAGGTTCTGCTACTTTTATAGTCTTTGACAAGCTTTTATGGACTTTACACTCACCTAAAGCAACACCTGTTCAATTTCTCATTAATGCAATTATCAACCAATCACATGGCAGTTGCTTCAATGCATTTAGGGGTGTGGTCCTGGTCAAGACAATCTCCTGAACTCCAAACTGAATGTCAGAAAAGCATTTGTGAAGCCACAACACGCACAACCTTGAGGCGGATGGGCTACAACAGCAGAAGACCCCACTGGGTACAACTCATCTCCTCTACAAATATGAATAGGAGACTACAATTTGCAAGAGCTCACCAAAATTGGACAGTTGAAGACTGGAAAAATGTTGCCTGGTCTGATGAGTCTCAATTTCTGTTGAGACATTCAGATGGTAGAGTCAGAATTTGGCGTAAACAGAATGAGAACATGGATCCATCATGCCTTGTTAGCCCTGTGCAGGCTGGTGGTGGTGGTGTAATGGTGTCAGGGATGTTTTCTTGGCACACTTTAGGCCTCTTAGAGCCAATTGGACATCGTTTAAATGCCACGGCCTACCTGAGCATTGTTTCTGACCATGTCCATCCCTTTATAGCCACCATGTCCCCATCTTCTGATAGCTACTTCCAGCAGGAAAATGCACCAGGTCACAAAGCTCAAATCATTTCAAATTGGTTTCTTGAACATGACAATGAGTTCACTGTACTAAAATGGCCCCCACAGTCACCAGATCTCAACCCAATAGAGCATCTTTGGGATGTGGTGGAACGGGAGCTTCGTGTCCTGGATGTGCATCCCACAAATCTCCATCAACTGCAAGATGCTATCCTATCAATATGGGCCAACATTTCTAAAGAATGCTTTCATCACCTTGTTGAATCAATGCCACGTAGAATTAAGGCAGTTTTGAAGGTGAAAGGGGGTCAAACACAGTATTAGTATGGTGTTCCTAATAATCCTTTAGGTGAGTGAATATGTCAATAATATTATCTTTAAAACAATCCTAAAATGAATTGGTAGCCATTGTAGTGAAGCTAAAACTGGACTGACATGATTAAAAGATCTAGCTCGAGTCTGTAATCTAACAGCAGCATTTTGTCCCATTTGATGCTGTGTTAAATACTCTGATTTAAAGAAGAAAACATGGTGTTACAATAATCCAGGCAAGATGAAATAAAAGCATGAACAAGCATTGCTGACAGTTTCTTCTATAAATTTTAAAATATGTCTTGGAAATATTTCTTAACTAATAAAAACAAGATTGAACAATCGTTTATAATATTCAAAGTTTTATATATAATATTCTGTAATATTCAGATTTTTTACTGTCTGTTGAATTTTGGGAAATATGTAATCAACCTTACTTTTATTAAAGCCTTGACCATATATATATTACTACTTCAGTTTTATATAGCTGTTTGTTATATTATTAATAACCACAACTCTTCGTTTCCAATATAATGCATATTTGAACACATATATTCACATGTTAAGAGCATATAGAAAGGACTAATGGCACCAAAGAATTGCCTGGGCAATCAAAAGTAGTCTAATCGAAACTCCGCTATCAGATTGGATCAGATTTTGAAAATGGGTTGTTCAAAATAAGGGGAAGAAAAGGATTCTGAAATCGGATTAGATCACAAAATCCAGTCTTGGTTTTTATCGGGATCAAATCGTCAGATTGTGTTGTTCAAAACTCTTTTTAAAATTCTTTAAATAAAGAAAATACCTTGAATTTCAGGAACAAAAAAATGTATCAAACCTTAGTACTTAGAGGATTAACCTTCCAGTGTTATTTATGTGTTTGTTGTTGTTGAAAGAAATCGATTATAGAATGCACTGCATATTTTGCATATTGAACTCCATCCTGATGCATTTCGGGACACAGTGGCTTCTGAAATCAAGCTTGCGTAGCCATTAGCAGGAATTATTTGCGTCAATTTACTTCATAAAAATTTCCTGTGTTGAAAAGTGCTAATTATCAGCAGTCACAAGAGTTTGTTTAGGAAAAGTAAACTCGATGACTCAGCGATTGGTTACACATGCTAACTTCATCTCTGCTGACAGTTTGAGGCAGCAAACTCAGTTTCACCCCTGATTGATTCAGCAGGGCGTTCGTTTGGAAAACCACATCTATACCCCAAACACACACACACACACACACCGCATCTGGAAACTCTTTAAGCCCTTGTGAGGCCTTAATGTGAGAGAAAGAGGGCGAGCTTTCCTCTTTGCGGGACAATGAATGCTGAAGGACCTTAAAGACTTAGTGTGTTCCTTTAGCGCTTGGGCAGTATACCCAAGTCATGGGTTACATTCCAAAGTCATGGGATAACACACACTGATAAAATGTACAGTGTGACACACATTAAAGGAGTAGTTCACTTTTTAAAAAAAACTTTTACTGATAATTTACTCACCCCCAAGTCATCCAAGATGTCCATGTCTTTCTTTCTTCAGTAGAAAAGAAATTAAGTTTTTTGATGAAAACATTCCAGGATTTTCTCCGTATAATGGACTTCAGTGGGAACCAAACGGTTCAAGGTCCAAATGAGAGTTTCAGTGCAGCTTCAAAGGGCTTTAAACAACACCAGACGATGAATAAGGGTCTCTGATTGGCCATTGTGTTGACACGCTCAACATATATGTCTCTGATTGGCCATTGTGTTGACATGCCCGACATATATGTCTCTGATTTGCCATTGTGTTCATGCGCTCAACTAATATGTCTCTGATTGGCCACTGTGTTGCCGCTCTCAAAGTATATGTCTCTGATTGGCCACTGTGTTGACACGCTCAACATAAGTTGACGCTTTTCCACTGCGCGGTACAACTCGGCTCGGCACGGCTTGGTTCGCTTTAGCTCGGTTTGCTTTTCCACTGCAGTTAATACCGCTTCAAAGTGAGTGGGATTATAGTCTGACCGTTATAGTTTATCCGCTCCTCGGCAACCAACGAGAGGAACGTCTGCACTTCGTCCACTGACCACGATTCAGCCATTTCTTTTTTGGAAGTTTTCTTTCTTTTTTCTTCAAGCAAGTCAAGAAAGTAGTTTTGAAACAGTTGCTACAGCGGTGGCTGTTACTGGCTATTTAAATCTAGCGGGTTTGATGTCTCGCAAATACAATGACGCTGCTAGTGACGATTCTGTCTGACTCTGACCAATCTTGTAGTTTGATTAGAGATATGCGATTATTATAGCTTCAAAGAACATTTTTATTCACAAGTTAACAAAATGTCAACAACGGACGACTTGTCCATTAAGCCTTAAATGTCGAGCCAGAGCAAGCGAGTTGAAAAAGAACACAATGACGACTAACCTGCAGAACAACGTCTTCATATGGATGCAGTGGTATGCAAGTTAACTGTTTTGTGTTATTAGTGAAAGTCGACTATTTCTCTTGTTAAACCAAGCACACTGACGAGATAAACGACTACGGTTTAATCTTACCACAAAAAATCTGTATTGATAATAATATGATAACTGGTGCTTAGAAAAGCATCAGAAAACACAGCAGCTAAATGATAGAAGGAAGTCGATCGGCAAACCCTTCTTCATACTGGCGGAGGTTGTTGAAGTTGGAATCCATGTAGTGCTTCAGGTCACTACTTCCAACAACCGAACATTTTGACTTGCCCTCTCGTAACTTCTGCATCCTTGAGCTTGGACTACAAAATCGGAGCGAGAAATGAAAATGGTGGATTGTTTGAAGTGTTGGGCCCGTAGTCAATGTCCTTATTTGTCAGTTCCACTGCAAATACTGTGACGTAATTGTTCAAAAAACGTAATAAAGAACAGAAAAATCTAAACAGGTTGAAAAATATGACCAACAGAATATAAAGATATAAACGAAGCACCTGAAGAGAATAATTTCATCTTTTCTGTACTTCTGTACAAATATACAACAAAATGCATTTAAGGGCTAAAAAAGTGGATTTTGCATGATATGTCCCCTTTAAAGCGAGCAGTACCGTACCATACCATGCAGTGGAAAAGCGCCATATGTCTCTGGTTGGCCACTGTGTTCACACGCTCAACATATTTGTCTCTGATTGGCCACTGTGTTGACGCACTCAACATTTATATCTCTGATTGGCCACTGTGTTGTCAAAACACTCAACATATATGTCTCTGATTGGCCACTGTGTTGACGCGCTCAACATATATGTCTCTGATTGCCCATTGCTGGTATCGTCACATTTTTACATTTCAGTACTGATTTGATACCGAACCCGATACTTTTTGATCTTCTTCTGGAAGAATGCCGCTTAATTAATACCTGTTGAATACAACAGTTGTTCCATTGCGGTTTTAGAACAAGACTAAGTATTTATTTAAAACATTTACGAGCAAAAGTAAAATGCTAGATCAGCATATTCTATGATCCTAGAACAACATTCCTGTCTAAAGGTTTTTTCCCTTATGGCTAACCCTAAACCTACCCGTAAATCTTCCCTAAAATCAGAGGGAAATGATAGGCGAATAACACTGATGTAGAAGCACTTAACCCTGGTTGTAAGACATGCATTGTAAACTTGTCCCTCTAATCTGATTGGTTGATTGGAATGTTGTTCCAGGATTAACAAAGACGTTCATCCAGAAACATGTTGCACTTGGTGAAATCGTTACGTTTCCTCGTAGCTGCTGTGGGTTGAGTTGTTCAATTTTCTCTTCAAGCCTCTACCAATATCCTCAATCCTGAATCTTGTGAGAGAGCTTTCCTCTCTCTGGAGCCCCTCACTATGAATGGAATGTCAAACAAGTGGAAACTAATACAGGAGAGTATATCTCGACCTCTCCCCAGAGGATCATTCTGCCGTGTTCAAAGTGGATTTGAATTCCTTTGGCTTCAGATAAAACGGCCTCCCCATTTTCATTTGCCATGTGCTGGTATGGAACTTAGGGAGGTAGCTTGTTTCCGATTTAACTTTTCGTCATTCCTGTTGTTGGTTATGAATAATGTATGAATGACGCAATAAAAATAACAAACCTTGCTTTGATAATTTTTTTTCACCATGTAAAAGTTGTAAGTCTGAGCACTTACAAATGTAACCACACACCTCTCTCTCTCTCTCTCTCTCTTAACAACCCGCACAATTTGAGCGATAATTCATGTTCATGCTACAAAAAGTGTTGGGTTAAGTTACACGCTGAAATTTACAACTTATTATATGAAGTATGAGCAATAGTAAGCACTAAACCAAGCCAGCATTATTAATAACAATGAAAAGCAAGAACACAACGGGTCAGAAGCTGGTTTTCAGTGATGATAATGAATTATATTTTCTCTTTTATGCAGGTCAGGAAAGACTCTGTCAGCTGTCAGAAAACACAACCTACTTTCGCAGGAGATTACATGAGATGGGTTTTATCATCTATGGGAACAATGACTCCCCTGTTGTACCCTTGATGCTTTACATGCCAGCTAAAATCGGGTCAGTGTCACTTTTTGTTCAACTGAATCATGGCTATTGTATTTGATAAGATGCTAGCTAGAGGATTAAACAGATTATTTTTAATGATTTCCAGGGAGCATTTGTGTGGATGTGCGTGTATGTGTGTACCTGGTATTCCCTAAGTTTTGAAGACCTCACTAGGATAGTAATGACAGTTACTTTTGACCTTGTGGGGACATTTCTTTTGGTCCCCACATGGAATACAGTTTATAAATCATAACGTCTTTTGAAAATGTAAAAATGCAAAAAGTTTTTTTGGTGAAAGGATATAGTTATTACAGTATAAAAACCTTTATGTCTATGGAAAGTCCACATAAAAAAATGGAAACGTGTGTGTGTGTTTAATGAATACATTTTGTGTGTTTGCTGTTTAGAGCATTTGGGCGGGAGATGCTGAAGAGGAACATCGGGACAGTGGTGGTTGGGTTTCCCGCCACACCCATCATTGAATCCCGTGCACGTTTCTGTGTTTCTGCCGCCCACACGAGAGAAATGCTTGACACAGTGAGTATCACATAAACACTAATGAAATAATAATTGCAAAAGTAATGACAAAAAAAAACTTTGTTTTGTTTTTCCATTTTGATTTCGGGATAAAATGGCGTCCTGAGATGTTCTTGATCAGTTTTATTAGATTCACGCATCAATCTGTTTGTGTATTAGGCATATGGAGAGAAAAAAAAACATGCAAGTTATGAATAAAAATGTCTCTTTTTAACTTACAAACTTAACTTAACCTATTGGCAGTGGCGGTTCTACTTTGAATTACACCCAGGGCGAGACCCCCTTCGAGACCCCTAGAATCCAGTTATTTTGCTAGATTAATCTAACTTTAAAGGGAGGAAGTAACCATTAGCTCATTCTTGGTTATTGCCTTGAATTATATGCATGGCACACTTTTAGTTATGACTTGTTAAACTATACTTTGTCACGAAATGGAGTTTTTAAAAGTAAAAGGGTCAGAGAGATACTTAGGCCTATTTAGTAACACAATACTTATCTCTTAAATAATTTTGAACAGCTCTCATATTAACAACTATCCAAACTGTTATAGACCTAAAATAGCTTTTGTAGCCCTATGTCACTCTTAAAATGTCTTAAAAAGAGAAAAGGACAGAATCAGAGATTATTTAGAAAATAGAAAATTGTACTTTGCATATTATAGGCTATACTGTAAAAACACTTATAAAGTTGATCATTATGTAAATTATTTTCATTTCATGAATATAGTGACCAACATGATCACATACACAGAATCTTGTTCAAAAAGCCTAATACACAATGAAATCAATTCATTAAGTTAATAACATTAAAGATTTGTTTTTAAGGAGTGTCTTTTATCTTACCTACTAAACTTAAAAAAGGTTAACACAAAAAAGATTTAAAAAAAATTTTAAACCTCATATTTCAGCATTCAATCATCTCTATAAAAAGAATGAGTCAATAAAGATACATTCCTGACATTTATAATGCACAGTAGCTTATCTTTTATTATTAATAGTAAAATTCGGTCTGATTTTCCCATGGCTGTCGTTGCTATACAACCATGCACTGCGCTCTCCACAATGACAAAGAAGTTTTAGTAGCTAATGTATTTCCACCACAGAAGCTCTGCTAAAAGATTTATTTACGGAGAAGAGAAAAAAAACACCCAAGTGTTTGGGTGCACGTGCACTCCCATACTGAAAAGTTTATGAGCGCGCCTCCCGCGAGCGTGTAATGAGCGCGCTTCCCGTGCGCCTAATCGCCTATTTGAAATAACGACCTCAAGCGCGCAAAAGACGCGATACGTGAACTAATCAAGAGATATCGCTTCTGTGCACGGCACCTTCTCAGCAAACAGGCGCGCCATTGCCAATAATTGAATCGAAATGATAAAAATAGAAAACCTTCGCGGCACAGAGGATTTTTTTTTTAACTGCTTGTGCCGCCCCCCATGTGACATGAAGAGATGCCGCCCCGGGAAACGCTACTGCCTATTGGCGCTCATAAACTGTTAATTTCGATAGCAAATTTTGATTTAGTTTTAGTTTGACTAAAATGCCATTTAGTTCGTCATATTTTAGTCATCTGAATTGTTTTGGTTTTAGTCGGCTAAATTTCAAAAAGATTTTGTCGACTAAATCTCATGCTACGTTCACACCGGACGCGAATTGCGCGTCAAATTCGCGCCTTTGAGGCTTGACCACTTTGTGTTAATTCGCGCGTCAAGAGCAAAACTGACGTGAGTAAAATCAAAAGTTTAGGGAAATTTACGCGAAACCCGTTGGCGGTAGGGGTGGCACGGTACATGAAAAATACCCGAACCGTTCGGTTCGCTTGTCTCGGTTCGGAGCGTGTGTGCGTCTTACGGTTCGACGAATGCGCCTCGTGCCCGTATGTGACGTTTGTTTTCTTTCGCGCGACATAAGCTTCTTCGACTTGGACCGGCGCTGCACAGAGCGACCGGTGAATAACATCAAACTAGCCCGAGAGCGACGGCTCCGTCACTCACTTTTGCGGTATTTGATGTCATTACCGATCGCTCTGTGCAGCGCCGGTTCAAGTTAGTAAACAAGCCAGTAAAAGTGGAGTATGGAGCGCTGCAGGTCACGGCACGCGGAGAAATGGCAAGTGGGAGAGATGAGAGAGTTGGAGGATGCGCCAGCGTCGTATAAGTCTATGCTATAAGTCCGGTGTGTGGGAACATTTTGGATTTCATGTTATGATATTTTAATATAACGCTACAGTGGCACTTTATGTTTAGATAAGAGCTTCAGTCATACGTTTCCAAATCCTGCACTTTAATTTTAAGTGGGACTCTCTGGGAATAGAAGCATTGTTGATACTGTCTTTTGTGTTGAGGTTGAACTTATGTTTCACTTTATGTTTATGGCCTTTGCTATTGCTATAGCCTAACTAATTATAGGCAATGAGGTTTCATGTATATTGACTTATTCATAAAAGACAGTGTTTTAATAGTTCCTCTTTTTTTCTTTTAAAAGATAGAATTTTTGTAAGAGCTACAAAAGTTGGCAGTTGATAAATGCAAGTTTATTTCTTGTGTAAATAAGATTTGTGTGATAAAAATGCACAAGTTCTTGTAGATATAGTGTGATACACATTCTCCTTTTTTTTGCCAAATAAACGAAAAGCATGTCAATGTCTTCTCTCTTGCTGTATCAAAATCTCACCTATAGCTTTCCTCTGAGATAGTCCCAAAATGTGCTTAAAGTCAAAGAGTCAAATTCAGTTTGTGCATGATTGCATGAATATCATTTTTTTTTATACTGTATCCTAAAGTGTGGATAATTAAGCTATAGATCACATGCTGAAGTACATTTCTGGAGTGTTAAAGATTAAAAGAAAAAAATAACAAGAACCGTACAGAACCGAAATCCGTGACCCTAAAACCGTGATACAAACCGAACCGTCAGTTTCGTGAACCGTGCCACCCCTAGTTGGCGGCCATGTTTTTTATGTTGATCGAGCATTCATCAAGAGATTTACTGCACTGTATTTGCTCTGGAGAGTTAGAACAGTGGCGTGGGGATCATCGTCGCCATATTTGTGTCCACCGGACCCTTCGGAGGTGAACCGTTTGGTGAGTTTCACCATTTGCTCGCTCCAGGAGTTGCGCCTGGATGACGGCCGCTCTCAGCAGTACTTCCGCCTGTCCCGCGCCCAGTTTGATGACCTGTTGTCCCACTTTGGAGCGAGGATCACCCTCACCCTCATCCATCTAATGTAGCTGTCATTTATTTTTGTTTTGATGATAAATAGAGCGAGCCTTCAAAAGTTATTAACCTGTCCTGTGTTTTTTTTTGTTTGTTTTTTACTTATGCACGAACTTATGCACATGTGTGTTGGTTGTCTTTACATCATAATACTATTTCATATATATTCTAGATATGGAATGAATGACATTCAATACAAAATAAACATGTCTCGTATATAAAAATAAAGTTTTAAGTGATAAAATATTTGCTTTGTTGTGCATAAGAATCCCACCATGCATTTAGTCATATTACAAAATAATTTATTGAAGCATCCAAACACTTCACCACGTGAGCAAGCAGCTAGGCTCCTGATTGGTTAACACGGCGAGAAATTGACGCCAAAGTTCAGATTTTTCAACTCGGGTGGCAGACGTGAATTCGCTTCAAACGCATGAATGCACAAATGGCACTAACTAAAATCATTCGCGCGTAATGTGCTTAACGCGCCAGACGCTCAATTCGCGCCATTCGCGTGAACTTGACGTGCGAATTCGCGTCTTACGCGCCGCGCTCTATACCTCATTCTCGCCGCAGGAATCTTTTACGCGCATAACGCGTCTTTGCATTGACTTAACATTGAAATCATTCGCGCCTGACGCGCTATTCGCGTCCGATGTGAATGCACCATAAGTCAGTAAAAGAGAACAAAAATAAATACAATAGATCAAAGATGCAAATGAAATAAACAGTGCTTTAAGTTTGTCAGTTTTCCGTCAGGGAAAAAATGACTTTGACGAAAAGTATGATGGAAAAACCGTCTATGAAATCAACACCTTTTATGTTAGATCTGTCCTCACTCAACCCCACTGCTAATGTTTTCAAAGCACACGAAGCGGCAGAGACCGCAGATCATTCATCTATGAAACTCTGACTCACCTCACAGTCCACCAGAGTACATAAACATTAAAGGAATAATTCACGGCAGAAATAAACATTGTCACCATTTAGCAAACCCACCCTACCAAACGAGTTCAAGTGTTAATAACTCCAGCGTCTCTTCTTTACTCTTTCAGGCTTTAAATGCCATCAGCGAAGTCGGGGATCTTCTCCAGCTGAAATACTCTAGAAAAAACAGGCCGGGGAGTGAAGGATCTGACTGTTTTTCGTATCTGGAGAGCCACCAGGACTAGCACTTTCTCACGACAGAGCCACATGTTTTTTCCTCTTTGTCTGTTTTGTGTCTTAACTTATTTGGCGTTTTCATGTTGATTCATTTCAGTGGATACTCATTGAAGCCCACTACTTGACCAAATTTCAAGTCTTACCCCTCTGGGTTCAGTAACCAATATTCATTTCAACGTGCAATATCAACTTAATAGAGACTTCACGTCTCTGTGTTCGGCATAAGAAATGACCCTGCAGAAAAATTAATGCCCATTAGCATGTTGTTCAACCTTCTACATTGTGTAAAAACACACAAATCATTTTCTGATATTTTATACAAAATATTTTTAGGGGTTTTGTTTTATTTTCCATTTTAAAATATCTAAAACAAGATCAATTTACTCAGGGTTAGATTTTTTTTTTTTTTTTTTGCTCCATTTGCAAATAATGCTTTGTTAATTAATATTAAGTAAACATCTTTTTACTTAATATTTATTAAGAAAAAAAAAGTGCTTTTAAGAAGAATAAATTAAACAATATGCCGATGGGGAACAATATAATACATTTTGCTTTAAGGAAAGGGGAATTTAACTATAATGAGGTTTTGATTTTGTCAGAAAACAGGACAGAAATCTTGATTATGAAAATGATTTTTGCAGTGTGCAGAAAAACACAATGACCCACACACTCCCATAGAAATGGCACCTTTAGCAAGTGTCATCTTTTAATGAGAAAAAAGCTTGATGTATAAACTTCTGAAGGAGAGAATTTATTATAGCTTAAGTAAATAAGAATGTGACTCTTCATATCCATATAAATATATCTATAAATATATTGACACATGTTATTAATACATTGCAGTGTATCTGCATTTAACATACTTTGGTCTTTTAGGTCTCCAAATCTTAATCTTTTCAAAATGCACATTTTATTGCATTGAGTAAGCTTTCTATTATGGAAAGCTATGATGTTTTTCCTTAATTTGAATTGTTGTACCTTCTACAAATAGGGTACAGTTTGGCGTCCTTCATCTGTATCCTCCTCATCATTTGTTCTCCAGTTTTGATTTAACCAAAGCAAGGGAACAAAATATTACAACGGTCCATGATTTAGTGAAACGAGGGGAACAGATGATTATATTGTATTGTAATTCTATTGTGTGCATGATTTACCGGGAACAAAAATGTGCTCACATATTAGTAACAAATTGTTAATTCGTAAATGAGTAGATAGAATGACACAAATTGGGATATTAAACTGTATTTAGACCAGTTCCAAATTTTGGTAATAGGCTTAAAAACAGCAAACTGCCTTTCACTCACCATCTGTAAAAAGCTTTTTTCCTTTCTTCATTTTTATGTATTGTTTTTATAGTTTCAGGCCAACTATTTGTACTCTATTTGTGGAAAGTGCCTTTATGTCTGTCTTGAATATCTGTTACGGTTTGCATTTCTCGCGATTACCGCTTTGATATCTTAGCCAGGGCATTTCAAAAACGAAATCTTCGAGCTAACAGAGTTAGGCTGACATTGTTCATTCAACATTTCATTATGTCTGCTGTTAACAGACAGCAGTGAAAAGATGTTCATGTTGCTATTTTGAAATTAAGAGTGAAGATTATCTATTTTATATAATCTATTATTTAAACCTGTCTTGTGTTCTAACAAAAGATTTAAATACGGGTCACTGATATATGAAGAGCACTGTCAAGTCTGTAATGTATGAATGATGATTTGGCTTATGAAGGCCTGTCGGATGTACTTTTTACAGTTTTTTTTTTTCACCCTATTCCCTTTTTGTGTTCTGAAGTTTTGTTCTTAATTGGGAAGGCAGCTCTAAATATGTCTGACTGCAGATGTATGTAAGTGGGACTCTGACCTCAGAGCTACTGATGACTGTTAGGAGATGTAGATATGACGTTGGCAAATGCGTTATTAATAGCCTCTATAAATGAAAGCAATGCCACTGAACTGCATTCGACTGAAACCAAAGGGCATTCCACAGTTTATTTTTTTCCTTTTCCTTTTTTTTTAATGAAATATACATTGTTGTCAGACTCGTACATGTAAAAAAAACTGGCATTTGTTGAAAGTGACTGTCTATTTGTTTCTGAAGATAATTAAAAAACATATCTTGAACAGTTAGAAAAGTGTGTTTGTTTTTTCAGAGAAATCCAGAGTAATTATCAAATCTCAGAATTTGCAGTTAATTAACAGTGACCATTAACTTCCATTGTATTTTTTTTTCCCTACTATGGTCAGTGGTTACTGACAGAAATATCCCCAGTGTTAAATTTACGCTGATGAATACTGAAGCAGTGTTAAAGTTAATGAGATAATTAAGTGAATAATTGAGTGATGATTGAGCATTATTGAGAACCGGAATTATGTCACCATTATGGTGATCAGTGTTTGTTGTAGTTGGGCTCTTGACCCTTAACCCTCAGGTGCTCTTCGGTCATTTCTGACCGAAAATTGTATGTTTTGAAATGTTAAAAATCACAGCTTCATCAGAATGTTACGAAACTTGATGACTTTTATGGCATTGGGTATGTGAACATACAAAAAAATTGAGGTCATGATCCGAGCAGGCTAAGTGGTCGTAAAAAAAATAGTCACACTTGTGCTCTTTGGTCAAAAATGACCGACCATAGGAACTGAATCGGAAATTGACAAAAACACAAAAACTTTGAGAATTTTTGTGTGTACAATCTACAAATCGGCCACGATGCAGAAAAAAAGTGCTCAGCATTGAAGGGGTGACACTCTAAAATATCAAGAGTGCAAAACAGACATACCCACCGCTACACACACACACTTTTATACACAAAAACACCAATAAATTGTGATTAAAGAAATCTGTTTTGAATATTTAAAAATCACAGCTTTTTGTCTCGACTAATCAAACCACGAACTGTATGAAGTTCAGCAAACTTCTGAACTGTATGAATGGCGTTCGTGGTTTGACTAGTTGAGACTGTTTTCCAAAGATGGCTTCTGTCTGTATACAAGAATTGAACTGTCTTTATAAAGTATCTTCTTATTAAATGGTCTGTACACTTACAAATTTCTCAATGCTTTGTTTTGCATGTAGGGACCCTCATTATGTTACTGTGTTAGTGTGGGGCTATTTTGAGCCTTGTTAGTCGTATAAACTAGCGATTTCTTTTTTACTTATTAAATGCCCCCATTACTAGCATTATACGCTAAACAGTTTTTAGAGATAAAACTCTTTACATTCGATTATCATGAAAACAAATCTCAGAGTTGACTAGGTACTGATGATTTATTAGACCAAAGGTTCATTTTGCGCCGGAGTTCTCCTTTAACTTTAGATTTTGTTAATACTGTACATTAGTTATAACAGCTAGGTGAACGCATGGACAAGGTGATCTATCTGATGGTATTGGTTGTGTTTTAACATAATCATTATTTCACAATTATTTGACCTGAACTCCCAGAAAGCCCAATTTCTGAAATAGGTTAACTTTATTAATTATACTCAATTATTGACTTTAACATTAACTTTAACGTTAATCTCATTAACAGAGTTTATTAATTCACGCTCTCAGTGTTAATTTAACACTGGGGATTTTGCTGTGAACTCTCTGGTGGAAGAAGGAATCAACCATAAATATGTAACTTGATCAAATTTTTTATATTTATGGCTGTTACTTTATTTTGAAGGTCCACTTTAGACAATACTGACTATAAGTGTCTTTGCAACTATGTCAGCTAACTCTCATTTAGACAAAGTTTCTTCTAGTTATTTGAATGTGTAAATGTATCAACCCCACTGCACTCGAGAGCTACTGCTCACCAGATCTGGTGTATCTCATGTTGAAATGCAGAGCATTTTATCTACCGCTGGAGTTCTCTGTTGTCGTCATTGTAGCCGTTTACATTCCACCACAAGCCAGTGATAAGCAGGCGCTAGCACCACTATATTGCTCACCCGAACACAGCCTCTGCATAATAGCAGGAGATTGTAATCATTCTGATAACATTTATGGAGAACTTTTGTGCAGTGTCCCCATATGTATTGTACACCAACATTAAAGGGTTAGTTCACCCAAAAATGACAATTATGTCAGTATTTACTCACCCTCATGTTGTTCAAACCCCGTAAGACCTTCGTTCATCTTCGGAACACAAATTAAGATATTTAAGATATTAAGATCGCTCCTGCATACAGTCCATAGGCTTCTTGAGGGTCTGGCTCTTGCTGTCCCCGAAAAGTCATTAAAGACATCGTTAAAATAGTCCAAGTGACTACAGGAGCTCAATCTTAAGTTTATCAAACGACGAGAACACTTTTGTGCGCAAAACAACAAAAATAACGACTTTATTTCAACTATTCACATCCTTCTCCATGAGCCTGTAAGTCAGTTAACGTAGTGTGATTGCGTAACGTACAATAACAAAAGCTTACGCTATTAAACTAGTAACCTGACTCGCGCAGAGGGAGAAATAAACGAATAGTTGAAATAAAGTCGTTATTTTTGTTGGTTTTTTGCGCACAAAAGTGTTCTCGTCGTTTGATAAACTTAAGATTGAGCCCCTGTAGTCACTTGGACTATTTTAACGATGTCTTTAATGACTTTTCGGAGACAGCAAGAGCCAGTCCCTCAAGAAGCCTATGGACTGTATGCAGGAGCGATCTTAATATCTTAAATATCTTAATTTGTGTTCCGAAGATGAACGAAGGTCTTACGGGGTTTGAACAACATGAGGGTGAGTAAATACTGACAGAATTTTCATTTTTGGGTGAACTAACCCTTTAAAGACTCACACAGTGCTTTCCCTAATAGACCTTCTCGGCTGTTCTGATCACATCCCACTGTCACCGGCACACAGATCCCTTATCCGTAAGTCGAGATCCACCATGAAACTGTTAAGATCTGGCCAGAAGATGCACAATGACAGGACTCTTTTGATCGCACAAACTGTGAGCTGTTTGAAGAAGCAGCAACCCAAGAAACATGATGCGTTCAAAGGGTACATATCATGCTTTTAAATCGGTCCTTTTTACATAGAAATCATACATTTGTGATCTATATGAAGCGAAACTGCAATGCTTGGGTCTGAATTCCTCATTATTATAGCTCCAAAGGCCCCTATTCTACCCCTTTTCTGATGTGCGTCTGTGAGCAACCCGTTTTGAAGCGGCCTCTTTAAATGCAAATGAGATGTGTCATACACTCGGTTCAACTCCACCCCCTTCGGCCATTTTTGTAGTTTGATTAGAGATACACGATTATATATATCACAAAACATTTTTATTCAAACGTTAACAAAATGTCAACAACGGAAGACTTGTCCATCAAGCCTTACATGTTCGAGCCAGAGCGAGCGAGTTGAAAAAGAAGACAACAAACCTGCAGAACAACGTCTTCATATGGATGTATTGCAGTGGTATGTAAATGTATTGTGTTGTAAGTGAAAGTCGACTATTTCTCTTGTTAAAACAGGCACACTGACAAGATAAATGACTATGGTTTAATCTTACCACTAAAAATCTGTATTGATAATAAAATACGTTTAGAAAAGCATCAGAAAACACAGCAGCTAAATGACCATTGATGAAACTCAAGAACAATAATACTGCAGACGGGTAAAGTTACTTCAAAACAAAAACAAAGATACTGCTGAACCATGACCACCATGTGTTTATGTGCTTTATTTTTATTATCGATATTTACAGCTTATCGAAATGCTCTGTTTGTCGTCTCCAAAGATAGAAGGAATTTACCCCTCATTCAGACGAAGTTGATCGGCAAACGCTTCTTTATACTGGCGGAGGTTGTTGAAGTTGGAATCCTTCACTCTCAGAAAAAAAGGTACAAAAGCTGTCACTGGGGCTGTACCTTTTCAAAAGGTAAACTTTTGTCCATTTTAGGTGCTAATATGTACATTTCAGGTGCTAATATGGACATTTTATGTGCTATTATGTATATTTCAAGTGCTAATATGTACATTTTAGGTGCTAATAAGTACATTTTAAGTGTTAGGTACATTTTAGGCGCTAATAAGTACATTTTAGGTGTTAATATGTACATTGCTAATATCTGCATTTTAGGTACTAATATGTGCATTTTAGGCGCTAATATGTACATTTTTAGTGTTAATATGTACATTTCAGGAGCTAATATGTACATTTTAGGTGTTAATATGTCCATTTTAGGTGCTAATATGTACATTTTTAGTGTTAATATGTACATTTCAGGAGCTAATATGTCTATTTTAGGTCCTAATATGTATATTTCAAGTGCTAATATGTACATTTTCTGTGCTAATATGTATATTTCAAGTGCTAATATCTACATTTTAGGTGCTAATATATACATTTCAGGTGCTAATATGTACATTTTAGTTGTTAATATGTACATTTTAGGTGCTAATATCTGCATTGTAGGTGCTAATAAGTACATTTTAGGTGTTAATATGTACATTTTAGGTGCTAATATCTGCATTTTAGGTGCTAATATGTGCATTTTAGGTGCTAATATGTACATTTTAGTGTTAATATGTACATTTCAGGAGCTAATATGTACATTTTAGGTGTTATTATGTACATTTTAGGTGCTAATATGCACATTTTTAGTGTTAATATGTACATTTCAGGAGCTAATATGTCTATTTTAGGTCCTAATATGTATATTTTAGGTGCTAATATGTACATTTTAGGTACTAATATGTATATTTTAGGTGTTAATATGTACAACACAACACTCACAAATAAAGTGGGAAAGAGCTTTGCGATTGACTGTAGGCCTACAACTAGATTTGCCAAAACATCGGAGGTATATTTTTACAGACTGCTATAGAAAGAGGAGCAAATGGATCGCAGAAATTCACAGAAACAACTGGACTTTTGCCACTCGGTCAGGCTGAGGGGGGTTGTTCCGGCAGGAAAGTCACGTGTCAATGCATTCCCTCTAGAGAACAGAAAATATGCAAAATATGACCAAAACAGAATATGAAGATATAATCGAAGCACCTAAATAGAATAATTTCATCTTTTCTGTACTTATAAACAATCCAAACATACAACAAAATGCATTTAAGGGCTAAAAAAGTGGATTTAGCATTATATGTCCCCTTTAAATTGGGAGACCCAGCCAGCTATAGACAGCGTGTCGAGGCCCACTTCAATAGTTCTGACACTACGAGTGTGTGGCAAAGACTCAGAGCTCTTGCAGATCACAAGAGTGCACTTGCTCTCCTCCACAAGACACTCACCTCTCTGAATGACTATCGACCAGTGGCCCTCACTCCAGTAGCCATGAAGTGTTCAGAGAGACTTGTCTCGCACATCAAAGACACATGCCTGCCTCACTCCACTCAGATTGCATCTAAAGCGAACAGGTCCACAGAGGACGCTATTTCCCTGGCTGTCCACACAGCTCTGAATAGTTCTAACACACAACACGTATGTATCCTATTCGCAGGCGTTAGCTCAGCATTTAATACTATCATACCCTGTAAACTCACCATAAACTCCACCAGCTAAGGCCTGAGCCCACTGTTCTGCATTACGATTCAAGATTTCCTGACAGAGCGCTCTCAGGTAGTGCAAATGGGCCCCTATTAACGGGATAGTTCACTTTGAAATTAAGTTTTGATGTTTTAGCTTACCTCAAGGGCATCCAAGATGTAGGTGTCTTTGTTTCCATAGTATTTTCAATTTTGATATTTTTAGGTCAAACCGTTCTTGTCTGTCAGTCATATAATGGAGGTCTATGGTCACCACCTCAAAAAGCATGCACAGAGAAGTCCAAATTAAACGTGATTTAATGACTCATAAATGTAAGTACACATTGATGGCCTAAGACACGAAACGAGAGGTTTGTGTGAGAAAACGAACAGTATTTATATCGTTTTTATGAGGTATCATTAACCAGAATATCAGTAACCAGACAGTTTCTGGTCTCATTGACTTCAGTCAATGAAACCAGAAACTGTCTGTCTACTGAGATTCTTCTAAATATCAGAAAATCGGCTGAATGCATTTGAAAACTGTACAAATTGTAAAAAAATGTAAAACTCAACTGTTTAACTCCAGGGGAGTGGTAAAATGAGCCTATTTCCAAAAAAGTGGAGTATCCCTTTAAAGTGGAACATCGAAATAGAATGTTACTTTCATGACTAATTTAAACAGAATTATGGATGCACTTGCAAGCAGTTTTTTTTTTTTTTTTTTTTTTTACATTTCTTTAAATTTCATTTCATTCAAATTCTACTTGTAAAGCCAAATGCGAAGTCTTCTTGCATTCTACGGGATTCTTCATATCTATAATATGGGTAAAGCCAAACAGCTGATGGACCCCATTGACTTCCATAGTATTTTTTCCATGCTATGAAAGTCAATGGGGCCATTTAGCATGCATTCTTCAAAATAGTTTGTGTTCAGCAAAATAAACAAATTCATGCCTGTTTGGAACAACTTGAGTGTGAGTAGGCTAAATGATTTTTAATTTGTGGGTGAACAATCCCTAATTCAGTTCTGAGTGGGGAACAAACACTTTCTCACCTGAACGGAAATGAAACTTCATACTCGCACACACCTTGCAGATACATGAGCATCACTGGTTATGTCACATGCGAGGAAAGGATTCTCCTCCCATTGCTGACCCCTCTGGAGATCATCAACCGTCCTGCGACTGTGACACTAATGCGTGCAGACTCAGCTTTACAGCTCAACTCCATCCATACCCTTCTCTTTTGACACTTGATACCATTTACCATAGTGATGTGTCAGCAATGACTCATGACATGATGTCAATGACATCTTGTAGAACACAAAGTTGTGTACTAAGGATGCACTGGTGAGGACTGAAGAGGGGGAGACCTGCAGTCGCTACTTAAACTGAGAGACGATCAGTCGATCAGTCTACGGGCAGACAGACAACAGTGCAACAAGACGTTTCGAGTCACATTAATGCATTTTTTTTTAGGAATGAACAGGCGACGGTTATCTATCTGAATATATCAAGTGTTCACACCTGTGCGAGTTTTGATGAAGTTTGGATGAAGATGACGAACAGCGCGTTGACGAAGATCTTTTCCAGGAGGGAAAAGCGCAGAGCTTCCTAAGCAACGAATGCACGTTTAAGACTTTATTTCAGCGGTATTTAGTGGACAGATACGCAACTGTGCAAAATGCTAAGAGTGCGTAGAAGTTTCTGGGTGCTTTTAAGTTTGCTTCTGTCTGTCTGGATAGAAGGAGCGAGCAGCTTCCCTGTGAGACACCAGAGATCCAGACACGGCTTCTCCGGAGAGGTGAGTACCCTACAAGTGGACCTAAAGTCACTCATTTCGTTTTAGGATTCTTCTTCAATGTCACTGAGGTTAAAATCACAAAAAACATTTGTGAAATTATTTTTTGTTGTTGTTGCTTTTTTCAAATTTAAAAATTACATTTTATTGTTTTACCCTTGACTTCGATTTCAGGGTTATATACAAAATCTCCAGATTAAATCCATTAGAAAATATGTTAAATAATCTAAACAAAGAATTAAACGTGTCTTGGTTTTCAAAGAGACAATTATGTTAGTAAAGAGCCTAGCCTAACTTACTTGACATGAAATATTATAGACGTGATGTGTGACCAAACATCTATGTAAATATCATTTCCAAACAAGCTGTACTTTCAGAATGTGTGAACATTTTATTTTTGTGTGTTTGTATATAAGCATAGAGCTATCACAAAAGGCCTCATTTGTTAACATTAGTTAATGTATATTCATCACTAATATGAACTAACAAAGAGCAGTATATTTGTTACAGTATTGATCAATCTTTGTAAATGCCAGCTGCTCATGTTAGTGCATTAACTAGTGTTCACAAATACAACATTTCATTTTAATAATGTATATGAAACCTTATTACCAAATTAATAGCATGACAAATAAGTCTATTTTATTCCAACTACTCATTTACAAACTTCTCATTTACAAATACTGTATGTTGATTCAGAAAAATTGTGCTCTGATCCATGTACATCCAGTTGGACATTGTTAGCAGATAAATTATCTAATGATTGTAAAAAGTGTTTTAAGAAGAGACAAAACTGCCTATAGTTGAAGAAACTGTTATGCACCATGAAACAAAGTCATTTTTAAACCCAAACAGTGCAAGTTGCAAGTCACTAAATGATCAATTCTCTCTTTTTTTAAAACATTATCATTATCTAAATGTAATAAATCATTGTTTATTCAAATTCCTGTGCCCTCATAATCTTTCATCTTTAATCAACTTAACTTCCCCCCACTCTTGCAATTGCATCTTTTCTCTGATGACGACGGGACATGTCACTCATTTAAGATGCACCAACAGTAAATCCCAAAGTCAAGTCCCACCCTATATATTCCAGTTTGAGAAGCTGTTTCACTCAGATATATACACTTACCTAAAGGATTATTAGGAACACCATACTAATACTGTGTTTGACCCCCTTTCGCCTTCAGAACTGCCTTAATTCTACGTGGCATTGATTCAAGAAGGTGCTGAAAGCATTCTTTAGAAATGTTGGCCCATATTGGATAGGATCTTGCAGTTGATGGAGATTTGTGGGATTCACATCCATGGCATGAAGCTCCCGTTCCACCACATCCCAAAGAAGGGTTGAGATCTGGTGACTGGGGGCCATTTTAGTCATGAACATGACATGGCTCTTGAACATGACTCATTGTCTAGTTCAAGAAACCAATTTGAAATGATTCGAGCTTTGTGACATGGTGCATTATCCTGCTGGAAGTAGTCATCAGAGGAAGGGTACATGGTGGCCATAAAGGGATGGACATGGTCAGAAACAATGCTCAGGTAGGCCGTGGCATTTAAACAACTAAGGGGGCTAAAGTGTGCCAAGAAAACATTCCCCACACCATTACACCACCAGCAGCAGCCTGCACCGTGGTAACAAGGCATGATGGATCCATGTTCTCATTCTGCTTACGCCAAATTCTGACTCTACCATCTGAATGTCTCAACAGTAATCGAGACTCATGAGACCAGGCAACATTTTTTCCAGTCTTCAACTGGTGAGCTCTTGCAAATTGTAGCCTCTTTTTCCTATTTGTAGTGGAGATGAGTGGTACCCAGTGGGGTCTTCTGCTGTTGTAGCCCATCCGCCTCAAGGTTGTGCGTGTTGTGGCTTCACAAATGCTTTGCTTCATACCTCGGTTGTAAGGCTGGCTGAATCAGTCTGATAGAGTCAACAAGGCATTCTCGCCCACAGGACTGCCGCATACTGGATGTTTTTCCCTTTTCACACCATTCTCTGTAAACCCTAGAAATGGTTGTGCGTGAAAATCCCAGTAACTGAGCAGATTGTGAAATACTCAGACCAGCCCGTCTGGCACCAACAACCATGCCACGCTCAAAATTGCTTAAATCACCTTTCTTTCCCATTCTGACATTCAGTTTGGAGTTCAGGAGATTGTATTGACCAGGACCACACCACTAAATGCATTGAAGAAACTGCCATTTGATTGGTTGATTAGATAATTGCATTAATGAGAAATTGAACAGGTGTTCCTAAAAATCCTTTAGGTGAGTGTATATGTCACAATAGGGAAGAAAAGATAGGGCAACTTCCGTTACATGCCGACTTCAAGGATTAATAATGTATAATAATGTGTTCATCTCCACATAAATTACACAATTTAATATACAGCATTCTGGGGATAACTATGCCCTCAGAAAAAGAAACAGTATTACAGTTAATCTGCTAATAGTGATAATGGCACTTAAAATAAGATATGCACAGTTTTCAGAACTCATTTTTTTACTCTACCACAACATGCTAAAATGGTTGTCCATTTATCATGATCACCATGTGCCTTTTTGAATAATCTATTTAGTGTTGAGTGACCATTTGCTATGGATCATTGGGTAAATGTGGAAGACATCTTGGTTGGAGGAATTGTCTTGACCCCACAGGTGAGAGTTGCATCTTGTCCCACTAATACAAATCTTAAGTGACTATATCTTGTAGTCTGCCAAAAAATATAAAGTTTCTGTGCAACATGTTTGTTCTCTGCTTATAGACCAATATATTCAACGCCACGCTTTTTTTTATTATGTCACCATGCAAAGGGGCCCAGAATAGAGAGAGGTCCAATACAGTAGAGCAGTACAATAGTGAGGCCTTACATAATACTGTTTAAAAAACAAGTTTCACTCTCACACAAGGTCATAGTTCAGCTCCTAAATTGTTTTTTTAGCCCCTCTTCTGTGTTAATGTGGAATTTCCTGCATTCTGGTCTCCTTGATCTTGTGTGTGTGCACACGGGGGCCATGTCTAACCTCTCCAAGAAAGGTCCTGCTACTCAGTTTTGTATTACTAAATGTCTCTTTTGTTTTTACATGTGGGGCAGGGGTCGTCAAAGGGAAAGGGAATAGGGGGTCTCAGTTTATTGTTTTACTTCACTGGTTTGGAAATGGTGTGGTCCTGGGACTTTGATATTGGAGGTCACATAAATCTATGCTGCCCTGCCGACTGCTTTCCCAATGCCCCAACATAAAGTGTGTGTGTTGATCGTGTCCATGTGTCTCACCATAGAGCTCAATAGAGGCTGTGTGTGTTGCATGCTCTTTTGCTAGCGCATACAGCTTTGTGTCGGGGTCTGGAATTCATGCCATATGTTCGTGATGGTGAGAAAGCCCACTGGCAGCTCAGGCCACATTCCACCGACGATTTTACAATGAATTAACAATACAGAGAAAGACAAGAGATGGCCCCAGGCAGACTAAGGATGTAAGGAGAGATTTGGTTTCCATCCTGAACACTTGGGAAATTAAATGCTGAGTTACAGCCACTACTCTTTCACCTGGCCCCTCTTGTTGAGACTTCCAGGAAGAAAAGACCAGATAACATTGAGAATAAGTCTTTCATAGAAGATCAAATACCCCTGAGTATGCAAAAATTAGACTTTAGACACCTCTGATTCACTATTACATTCATGCACAGAACCGATATGTAACCAGTTCAACCACTCAACCACTAAAAAAAACATGGCAGCATTTAGCATAGCATGGAACAGGCCTAAATGTAATTGTAAATGTATTAATATTTTACAATCAATTAAATGCAACATGCAAGTGTTCAAATAGCGTGAGATTCACCACAAAGGTCAAAGACACAATCACACAGTGATCATAATAGCTTCCTACAGGCGTCCAAAACCCCAAATATCGCACATTGCTCTCTGAGAATGAACCTGAAAAACCAAATCAGCACCTCTCTGTCTCCCATACGTGAGCAAAGCATGAGTTTTTGTAAATGGACACCTGGTTTTTGAAATAAAGAAAAACGAAGTGTAGTATATACAGTATAAGCAGTTACTTCATTGTTAGGCTCTCTAATCTGTAGAGGTTCTGAGAAAGGTTTACAGTTTCCCCAACAAGAACCGGCCACGAGCATCAGCACCATCACAGTGATAATTGGGTTTAAGTTGACTTATTATAAGCTTTTTATCAGGGAATATGTGATCCGTTTTCCTTGAGAGTACCTCTAATGGTGCAAAGTCATTGTCAACTCATCATATGCAAGACTCTGAGTTTTCACGACGCATCATCACTCCGGAAGTCGGCCATTTTGGAGGCACAGAACATAAACAATATGCCATTGAACTGAACGGACTCGCAAATTTGGCCGATTATTTCGCTGAAAAATTTCGCTCATCTTTGTATCCGATTGGAATCTGATCTAAAATGATGTCCACACTGTTTATCGCAACTGTTCAGATCCGATTTGTGAGTCCATGCAGCTCTCGGACAATACGGCACTGACATGGAGGGGTTTGGATATGTGTAGCCACCGCCGCATTGGACTATATTGCGTATTGAGCTGCTGAACTGTAGGAGGCTGTCATGTAACGTTACAACTTTTTTCCGTGTTCTTGTCTGCACCGGTTTCAATATATGTTTCAGAAATAATATTTTTTCGGCAGCAACTTGCAGCATGTCTCCTCTAACAACCACTGACGTTTACATTTTATGTGGCGAGGGAGTCGCATACCACCCGAAATCCGATCGTTCAGATTGAAGCATATGTCCTGGTATTTGAATAGGATTTCAAACCATATTTGGATGTAGCTTGAAACGGATTTCATGTGCTTTTCTGGGCTGACAATCTGAACGTAGCTATGTCGGAAAAAGAAATAGAAGGAAGAATTGCAGTACCCAGATAGCAAACTGACATTGAATCAACGTGGAAATATGACATCGAAACAACGTTGATCTGACATTGTTTTGCTCATCGAATTAACGTTGAACCAACGTCAGACGCGTCATTCTTTCAAAACTAACGGAAAATCAACTTGAAATCAACGCGTTGTTTCAACGTTATGAAAGCAAACCAATTTTCGATTTTCATTTAGCTTTGAAGAATGCCGCGTCTGACGTTGGTTCAACGTTAATTCGATGAGCAAAATCAACGTTGTTTCAATGTCATGAGAGACGTCGTTTCCACGTTGATTCAATGTCAGTTTGCTATCTGGGTACAGGCTAGAGAAGCTAGCTCGTTCGGACCTTTACCACATAATAACTTTAGTTTGTCAAAATATTGCGCTCTCTCCTGCTTGATAAGTCCTTCTCTATATGACTTCGCACCTACCACAGGTTTTTTCTTTGTTTTTTTTAGTGTAAGTCCATGCTGTTGTTTACAGCCGAGTGCCTCCATAATGGCCACTCATCTGGGTTACCGCCCAGAATGTGACGTCGGTGAAAACCCTCAATAGTGACTAAAATGTATTTTTCAAGTGAAGGTCACTAAAGATGTTCCGAAATGCTGAAATGCAGGTGCAGTTAGCACTTATTGTTGTGTGTTACATTTGTTTTTCATCAGACACATCCACGCACATCTTTGAGAGAGACGACCATTAGCAACGACCATAACCTCCTGCACCAGCAGAACCAGGTCCAGAGTGATTTGCCAGACTCACATCCCCACCAACACAGGTGGCTCCAGCATCGCTCTACGGGTGTCCTGCCACAGCCTGAGCCTGAGGAAGAAACAAAACCCTTTGTTCTAGACCTCAAAAACTTTCCAGAACTGGCAAATGCTGACATTGGCTCCCAAAACCCAAACATTCAGGTGAGAGCACGCGAGAGAACACAGCTCAAGTTAGTAGTCATCTCTGTGAAATGCTTTATGTTAGTGAGTCCCTCTTCCAAAACTTTTGGTGACTAAGCAGGGCAAGTCAAAAATGCAGGGCTGGATATAATAATCCATTACAAGGTTTCTCCTCTCTGAGGCTAATGTCTAATCCTGTCTAATCCAAAGTGGATTCATCAGCATCCATAGTGAGTCATCACTCCTCATAGGATGTAATTAAGTGTAATAAGTAATCTCATCTTGAGGAGAGGAGGAAGTAATTCTGCTTGATTTGATATTGACCCTGAGCTCAAATCAAGAGACTCGATCGGTGAGTCATTGCTGAAACGAATTGCCACTGACTGTTCTCCAGACTAGAAGCAAGGCGTTCCTCATGCAGAATGATTTGTTTTAAGTTCTTAATATAACTCCCAATTTTGATTCAATGCTTTGAATCCCTGCATACTTTGCACCTTTGGTTGTAGGTGACCATCGAGGTGTTGGATGACCTCCCTATGGAAGTGGAGAGGGATAAAGAATGGAGCAATGACTGGCCCACATCTTCTCCCTCCTCTACTGTAGAATGGCTAGGTGGCAAGAAGCTCTTCTGGCCTTTATTTTGGGGCTACACGGATGCAGATTCAGGGGACGATGGTACTGGCCAAGCAGTGGAGGATGAGGACGACTACGCATTGGAGTATGACAGTGGGGAGCCCCTCCCTAGCGGTCTGGGCAAGACAGATGGCAATTGGGAAAGCCCATGGACTCAAAGTCATTATGGTGAGTGAACTAAGTTTCTAAATGTAATTGCGGGAGGAGTTAACCCATTTAATCTTTCAATTAACTGCCGGAGTACATAAGAAGCCACTCACCATGATCCAGCATCAGCTGCTTTGGCATCCCTCTACCTCCCCAAACTCCACCAAAATAATTTAGACATCTTGCGACCAGACTATATCTAAGCTAGAGTTTAAGCTGCTTCCTCAAGCCCCTCTACTGCAGACAGCAAGCCAAATATGTTTATTAATAGCTTAAAGATTATATGGGCAAACAAACTTGTGAAAAGAGTATTTGAGTAAAACTGGAATGGAGAAAAAAACCAGCTGTTTTTAAAGGGGTGATGAACTGAGAAAACAAATTTTCCTTGAGCTTTTGACATCTAAGAGGTCATCATATTATAAGAATATCCTGTAAGTTTCAGAACTGAAAACGTCCTTGTTAGTCCAATAAAAGCTTTTATTGACACCAGCCTCAACAAACGACTCGTTTTTCAAAGTGGGGGACTGTGACGTCAAAGAGGATAAAACACCACCCCCGCAGAAGAAGATCAGTGCCTACTTCAACACGACCGGTTTAGCCCCGCCCACTCACAAGTGATATATACAACTACATAATTTTAATTTGACTGGGAATAAATGACTTTTAAGGCTAAAAAGAAACCGTATGCTGTTGGGAGAGTGTTTTTATATCACCACAGCAGTGTTCAGTGGATTAAATCATTTAACGATCAACGTCAACGATCGATCAATGAACATATTAAACTCACTCATACTGTCACAAATTATAAAAACCTCATTCGAATTTGACAAATAATCAATTTTCTTGTCCCTAATAGTCAACGTAATGCAGGGGAAATTGTAAAATGAACTGCAGCAGTGCTAAACGTGCATCATAAAATGAAAACACTCGAACTATAACGTTAAATATATGAATTAAACTCACTGAGACTGACGACAGTTTCTTTTCCATGCATCATTTTATTATCCATGTATGTGGTTACAGTCAAATCATATAAAACAGTGAAATCGTCCTCAAACTCTTCTTTCTGTCTTGCCTGCATTCGAGACGGTGACGTGAGCTCCACTGAAAGTCTTCTTTCCTATTGGTTGTCGCTCGCGAAAATCGCTTTTCACCTGCATAAAGTTGAAAATTCTCAACTTTTGTCGCTTGTCTCTTGTCGCTTGACATGCCCACATTCTGTCGCCAACGGTCACTGTCGCGTGTGTCGCCGGATGTCGCCAGCGCTCCATTGAAATGAATGGGATGTTGTCGCTTTGTCGCTGCGTGTCGTTGGCGGTGTGAACGGTGTGAGAATGCTGGTGCTGTGCCGTCTATATTGGATCTGACAGGAATTGTGCAACACACCGACTCTGGGTCGAACCATGTATGGGCAAATCATTCTGGTTACCATTTTACATCATTGGACATTTTCAAAACAATTTCCCCCAAGTGCACTGACGCGTGAGTTGAAACTCATTATAATATGCAAAACTGTTATCCACTCACAGCAGTGGGCGTTTACTTCCAAGTCTTCAGTGCGAGACACCCATAAAAACCAGGCGTTTTTCAGCTAGGCTCAAAACGAGGGTACAAAATAGCCTATTAATATTCATTTTGATGTTTTTTGAATGCAAAAACCAAGCGAACATCATAAGTTGACCTCAGTCAACAATATAATAAAATTTAAAAAGCCAGTTCATGACCCCTTTAAGCAAGACCAGAATTTACACAATCAGAACTTTAAGCAGATAAATACTGAGGAACGGGACAATTTGAGAATAGAATCAGATAAAGGTGATTTGAAGAGTAGTTGAAGGGAAAGAGAGATGAAGAGATTGGGGAGGGAGGGTAGAGCAAGCTGGTAAGGAGTGTTTCACAGCATTAATTCGGACTAAACTTTCAGCCAGCGACGGGGTGTTTGTGAGTGTCGGACCTTTGAAGTAGACACTGGTCCCGCTCTGTGTTTGAAGACGAGCCCGATCCGCTCACTAATGGCAGCGTGAATACTTTCTCTTGGACAAATAAACCCATGCTTGTGTTCAATTAGAGCGCAGATCGGGAACACAGAGTGAGAGGGGTCATCCGTTTACTTTTTATGTCCCGCGGGTTGGGCCCCAGACCCTGAACCCCCTCCACCCCCGTCCAGTCCAGAGCGGCTGGGTCTTTTAAGCCTGTTCAAGAATCCTAGGCTTTTCAAGGCCATGCATAACATCACGCCTCTATTGCTTTTTTGTTTTTCTCTCTACAACATGTCTGTTTCGTGGTGGGAATTGTGCACTTTACGCTGTAGCTGTGGAGTCTTGATTCATTGGAGACCAGGATGAAATGGGACAGGGATTTAATTTAAGGGGTCAAGGAAAGACATTATGATTGAGATTAAGGATGGCCTCAATCTAGACCAGATTCTCATAAAACATTCAGATCAGTGTGATGGAGCAGAATTTATATTCATGGATAAGCAACATTTCTAGTCTAATATAACAGGAGAAAGCTATCTGTTTCCTAGCGGCTATAAACTGAGCTAGAATAACATAGAAAAACATGGACAAAATATATTTGTCTACTCGAGAACTGAATAGAGGACCATTTAAAAGTTCTTTCTGCCAAAGGAGTCCTAAACAGACTCGATATAATAGCCTGTTCAAAATGTTCTTGACTCCAGCAGGGGTAACTGCTAATGCTAACCATCCGAATCTTGACCCTCTGGATTTTAGTTTCTGCTTTGATTAACCTCTGATATAAGACTAACCCTGTGGCTGTTGTGGGTTTCGCAGTTTGGCACTTCTACAAAGCCAGCTAGAATAGTCGCTGAGCCTACGCCTCCTTTTCATCATTCCTTAGTCTGTCTGTAATCAGGGTGCCATCACTGTGTGTGCAATATCATTGGCATCCCACCCAAATTCAAGTTAAATATTTAAACAAGTCTAGTCTCTAATCTATACTCTTTATTATAGAAGAAGGAAGAATGCATCTGTTGTCCTTGTTTAATTCATTATCTGCAGTCTGCTTTCGGTAAAGAGAGTTTTGAGATCTCTCCCAAAGCTAAAAGCTAATCAACTATTTGAGGCCTGTTTTGGAGGCTATATTAGGCTAACTTACTCAGCTTACCGGTGTTTGTCCGTGTAAAAGTTGCCATCATGGTGTTCGAGTTGTTGTTGTTGTTTGTGTTTTCCACGGTGCTCCTGTGCTAAGGTGTTCTTGGGGTGGTATCTTTAAGTAGCGAGTGGTTGTTTCCTATTAGCGTAGAACTGAACATTTCTGATATTAATTTTCTCTAAATTGTAATGTAGACACATTAATTTTCTGTAAAGCTGCTTTGAAATGATATTTGTTGTAAAAAGCACTTTACAAATAATTGTGAATTGAATTCATTTCATTAGTGTGTTGCTATGCATTTGCTGGGATTATTGATAAGACATTGCTTTAATGATTGCTAGGCACTTCTAACTGCTAAGTGGTCGATTCTATTTGACTACATTTACACATTGCATTAGCATCAGTTTTTTGTTGATGGGTCACTGAAGCCCATCATGGAGGTAGTCGGAAACGAAATAAGCAAGGTTGTCTTGACAACACAAGTGGGCACAGGTAATGCATCGAAAAAGCAAGAAGAACTCCGGTGCAAAATGAACCTTTGGTCTAATTACACATTGGTACATAGTCAACCATTCTCTGAGATTTGTTTTCATGATAATCGAATGTAAAGAGTTTTATCTCTAAAAACTGTTTAGAGTATAACGCTAGTATATGGGGCATAGAGTAATGAAAATAAAAATCGCTAGTTAATACCACTAAAAAGGCTCAAAATAGCCCCAACACTAACACGGTAGCATAATCAGGGTCCCTACATGCAAACCGAAGCATTGAGAACTTTGTAAGTGTAAAGACCGTTTAATAAGAAGATATTTTTGAAAGACAGTCCACTTCGCGAAAACAGGCAGGAGCCATCTTTGGAAAACAGTCTCGAGCAATCGAACCACGAACGCTGAGCCAAGTGCGCTGGTGAGATGTGAACGAGCCAGACGTTCTCAATGCTTTGGTTTGCATGTAGGGACCCTGATTATGCTACCGTGTTAGTGTTGGGCTATTTTGAGCCTTGTTATTGGTATTAACTAGCGATTTTTATATTCATTACTCTAATTCCCCATATACTAGCGTTATAAGCTAAACAGTTTTTAGAGATAAAACTCTTTACATTCGATAATCATGACAACAAATCTCAGAGAACGGTTGACTATGTACCAATGTGTAATTAGACCAAAGGTTCATTTTGCGCCAGAGTTGTCCTTTAATACCAGGTGGAAATATGAATGGTAATTGTTATGATCGGATCACTGAACAGTAATTAGGGTTAGGGGTTTTGTTCAGAACCAATATGAGCAATAGGGATGCTTGTATTGGTAACCACACATAATGTTTAACTCATTAGTCTTTTCCTCTTAGAAGAAGCAGAGGACGAGTGGAGCGCATGGAGTCCCTGTAGTGTCACTTGTGGCCACGGCAATCAGACTCGCTCACGTTCATGTGGAGATTTCTGCACATCCACTGAGTCCCAGAGCTGTGACCTTGCCCCATGCCCAGGTTATTTCACTACTCAAAAATGTGTCTGTTCTTATTTTTGAATTCAAACCCATTGTGTAATTGAATGTTAATGCTGATTTTTTTTCCCCCCCTAGATGATTGGAACAGTGTGGCTCATGTCTTTCCATTCGAGATGGAGAATGGTACAGAACCCTTTGGCACTGGTAAATGCTTTAAGTTTATACCTGTATACCTTCATCAGGCACACACAACATACCATTCAAGCTCAATCACAGCGAAGATCCATCAATTACCAACATGTCATTGAGACTCCACATCATCATATACAAAAGTCATTGCCCTATCATTCATGCCCATAGCTGAAATGGCACAATGCTATAGTTGATTTGACTAATGTGCAATAATCTTTTGGGTTTGGTTGCTTTGCAGATGTTGACAGCTGTGAAAAGTGGTTAAATTGCAAGAGTGACTTTCTTCAGCGTTACCTGCAGCAGGTATTGACAGAATTACCCAGCTGCCCGTGCACCTTTCCTTCAGAAGCCTCCAACAACATCGTCAGTCTGCTGGATGCAGAGCACGACCGAACCTTCCAGTGGAGGGATGCTAGCGGCCCACAGGAACGATTGGACATCTACAAGCCCTCGGCACAGTCCTGCCTGCGTTCCGGCCTATCTAAAGATGGCACCACTCTGGCTGCCCAGCATTGTTGCTATGATGATAACAAGCATCTAATTACAAGGGGCAAGGGGGCAGGAACCCCCAACCTAATAAGCACCGAGTTCTCTCCAGAGCTGCATTTCAAGGTGGACGTAATGCCTTGGATACTGTGCAAAGGAGACTGGAGCAGGTTTCATGCAGTCCGCCCACCCAATAATGGCCTCCATTGCACGGAGAACCCCCAACAGGATATTTTCATGAATGAATTGGAGGAGGCCAGAGAATATTAAATCACCAAATTACCATCCGTCCTCTGACTCACCATCCTGCTGTGGTGCTTAACCCTATTAAAATAAGCAAATGAATAAAAACCCCGGCCAGCCGCATTAAGTGTGCAGTATAGACCCAGTCTTGTGTTGTGGAACGCATTGCCGTAACTGTGTTCGCAAAGCCTCTAGCTTTTCTTATGTTTGGAACATTGTGGAAAATGAATGGAATGATTAATACAGCATATTTGTTGTACGACCGTTGTTGCTGCTGCTGCGATCACATACAGTGGGGTGCAAACTTCTGACAATACTAGTGAAAAAGAAGGGTTTTTATGATTTAATATAGCTTTAATACAAATTATATGATCAGAATTGATTAGTATTCCTTTTATTTGAACAACAGCAGAACTCAAGCTGACATGAGATCCACATTTGTGCAAAACCTGATGATCATGTGATCCAGCATGATTTGAGAACGTTCCAAAGAGCATCCCATTGTACAATAAAAGTTGCTCATGTGGTCAATGTCATTTGGTTAGTATAGAACTATATTATTCATCTTAATGTAAAATTATGATTTGTTTTAACAGGAACATATAATCCTAATAGATTTTGAACCCTACATATGACCTTTGGACCCCACTGTTTTACGTCGATATAAGTGCCATCCAATGTAAAATGGGCACAATTTCACTGCCAACTCAGGGGAAATCTTTCCATAACAACCAGTGTTCATTTAGTTCTTCAATAGACCTTATTCAGAGCAGCGCCATGACAGGTATGAAAGTGAGGCTGTGAGGGATAGACTTACCGTGTTTCCAATGGCATCCGCTGTAAAAAGCTGAATAAAGCGACTAGATTACTTACAATTTTCCACAGCTTACATTGGCGGGAGTTTTTTGTCAACTGAAATTTCTTGGAAAGATATTTTTCCAGTGTTTCATGAGCAGAACAATCCGAAAACACATTAAATAACAGTACAGGTCATTGAAGAGATGCATGACTATCCCTCACAGCCTCACTTTCATTCTCACTAAAAAAAAAGATGGCGCTGCCGTGAATAAGGCGTATAGTGTCAGAATTTCAGAAAAGGGACTGAGCCGGCAAATGTAAAGAGAATTTTGTAATGTGACGCTTAATATGATGCTTATGTAACGTGTTGCTGTTGTTTATGGAAACTATTGCAGGGGAACTACTTAATACTTCCTGAAATATTATTCTTAAGAGTATGCAGACTGAATATGCACATGCTACGGCTGGCACTTTATTTAACGTGTATTGAAATGTATATTTGCGTGATGTTATCCGTGTTGCTGTTGTGAATAGATTGCTTCCTGGTCATTGTTACATTAATGGCAAGAACAGTAACCTATTTCTGTGTTGGCATGTGTTGTACAGTATTTATTGTATTTTTATCGCACGTTTGCTGATGCTTTGAGGAGGTACACTACCCAGAATCCTCCAAGACAGACTGAGCTATAAAGGGAAATCATGTTCTCAAACACCTCTTTAAAGACAACTGAAACGAGTCGATGTTCGCTGTTCATTATTATGTGTACTTGCAAGTTGCAAATTCTATTAAAAAATACAAAGATGAGTTTGAAATAAATTCTTGCTTGCTTCTTTGAATAAAATGCAGACATCAGTGTTCATTTAGGTTTGGATTATGAATGAATCTTCACATCTGGACTAACTTATGCTAAGCACTAACACTCTGTGGAGAACTTTTTGGCACTACCAAACAAATACCTGTCATCCATTTATCTGAAGAACCATCAACAATAGATCAGTTAGAGATTCAGGGCTCATGTTTTTCATTACTCTATTTTTCCATTTGCTTTTAACTAGACGCATCCAGCGAAAATGAAAACTCATCTCTCCGGGGCTATCTGCCCTACCCCCTAAAATCTGTTTTCAGTTAGAAGATATCTGATGAGTGATGAGCGGGGTTGTGTGCCATTCAGAGTTGAACTGAGAATTACTGAATTTGAATTGGATTTAAATTGGAGAGGCAAACAGAATGTAAAATTGTCATTTGAATTTGACAACATAAATACATATGCCGCAGATGTAAATAATCAACCACGTCATCACATACAGTGTTATCCGTGCACAATGACGCAAGGACTTTTCATTCTGATGGCACCAAAGCGACTGAGAAAAACTGAAAAATAAACAAGCAAGCCCAGCCCAGTTGAGAAAAAGTAATGCAAAAGTAACATAATGTATTACTTTCCATAAAAATGAACTAAGCAACGCAAATAGTCACCTATTTAGGGAGTAACACAAATGTGGGGGAAAGTTACGTGTACTACAATATTGTCGCCCACTTGCTCTCAGATAGATGCATGGAGGGATGGATGCTTTTTTGCATGTTGTCATCTCTGTCGGTATGTTCTTAGGCTGGGATTAGGGGGTCAAAGAGCAAGGTAACAAAAATCCATAGGATTAAGATTGCAGAGAAATCTCAAGGATCTTGTTCTTCTATACAGATCTTAGAAATCCGTTGACTTATGCAATCATTTGCAAATGGGTCACCACCATAAGATATTATACAGAAGGTCTGCTACAACATTACTACAACTTAAAATGTTGTTTGTAGGAAAAGGTTTGCAAAAGTTTCTGTCATTTCAGGATGAAAACATAAAATATTGTACATAAACTCTCAAAATCCACCAGTGTTTTACCATTACCAGTATTACCATTGTTGCCCATTAGAAGTGCGGACTCTCCAGGCCTGCCAAGACTGATGTCTGCAGTGCTGTTTGCTCTCTCAGGCCCACGGGGATTAAAAACACACTCTGCCTGTGTGTCCGCGGAGCGCCTTCGGTACTCCTGTGCAGTCTGCCACCCACCGAGACCACAGATGGAAGCGATACAAGCCACACATGCTATAAACCCCATTATAGCATTCAACCGCTTTCCCCCTTTCTTTTCTTTTCAATTAACTGGTTGTTTGAAGACTGAGAACTGTGGTGTTCCTTTCCGTGTTCAACTCATTGGAGGGCATCTGTGGTGGAGGATCAATTGAGCCAAAAATGTAAAACCAGAGCTTTAATTTTATACCCAGTACATTATAGCCATTTGATTCTGATAATTGTTGCTGAAGACATACAATTTTATTTAAATGACTAATGATTAGGCTTTAGCTAAAGAAAAAAAGGCTTTAGCTAGGTTAAAAAAAAAATCTCATTACACTATATTGTTTTCTTGAGCAGTGGTTTTGAAATCTAATAACACCTAACTCATAACTTAGGTCTTACTGTAATAGGTTTTGATAAAGCCATACTGTCTTATTTGAAACACAGATTAAAGTCTAAATTATCAACATGATCAAAATATTTCTGAAAAAGCTGTGTGTGTTGGAAGCTGGGCAGGCATTTTTTCCTCTGGAATATAAGAAAGAGGGCTAGTGCTGCCCTCTGTGGTCAACAATTGTTCAGAACAAGTTCCAGAGACCCGGAAACTAAATCGTTTAATATTTGATAGCAGTCAGGCTGGCAGAGGCACATTGATTGCACACTAAGCCACTGTCTGAACCATCATGATCTCAGAATGGGTCTCGTTTATGATGTTTTACCTGCTCGCTGCTGTTTTCAGTGCATTTCTTGCATATTGTCTGTATGTAAGACATGTTCATCAGAAATATGATCATATACCTGGACCTCCTAGAGATAAGTAAGAAACTTTATGAATGTGTTCTATATTGTACAACTATAAACGGTATTGCAGACAGTAGGCTAAGTCAGAATTTGTCGGTATATGATCAAAGTTGAGATAAATTAACATGAAAATTGATATTCTGACAGTTTTCTGCTGGGGCATATACCGACTTTCAGAAGAGCGATGAAATCGGAAAGTATTATACACGAACATTTTCTTCAATGGTAAGAACAAAACTCATGTTTAATTTGCATATTTTTTGCCTGAGTAACATACATAATACATGTTGTTTTGACTTTGCACCTACAAAGCGTCAACTGTTACGTAATATCAGTATCACATAGTGACATTGCATCTCTCTCTCTCTCTCTCTCTCTCTCTCTCTCTCTCTCTCTCTCTCTATGTTAGTGTGTGTGTGTCTTGTACTGTTTAATATTTGTACTTTAAAAAGCTAAATAATTTAATGTAATTTATATTTTCAGAAGTATATTTCTGAACCTTTTAGAAATAAGCCATCTTTTGGCACGTAAGCTGAGAAACTGCTGGAAAATAACACTTTTATTCATCTTCTGACAATTATTTTTCTTTTTTGTCAGCACTATACATTTACACTATACATACATTTACTAAAATAGAACTCTTTACTTGAAGGGGTGTGCATAAGACTGACATGACACCTTCATAATCATGACAGGACAAATGTCATGAATGACAACTGTCATTAAGTGTCATTTGCTCAATTATAAAATTATTAATGCAATTATGACATTGTTTGAGATGTCTTTGTTATGACAACTTGACATAACCAATACAGTGTCTTGGCCATGACTGTCATGGGGCGGTTGCGAATAGTGTGAGGACTCAACCCAGATAGCAAACTGACATTGAATCAACGTGGAAACATGACATCGAAAAACAACGTTGATCTGACATTGTTTTGCTCATCGAATTAACGTTGAACCAACGTCAGACGCGGCATTCCTCAAAACTAAAGGAAAATCAACTTGAAATCAATGTTGTTTCAACGTTAGGAAAGCAAACCAATTGTGTCGATTTTCATTTAGCTTTGAAGAATGCCGCGTCTGACGTTGGTTCAACGTTAATTCAATGAGCAAAACAATGCCAGATCAAGGTTGTTTCGATGTCATGAGAGACGTCGTTTCCACGTTGATTCAATGTCAGTTCGCTGTCTGGGAAGTGCAGAGGTGAAGAAGTGTTTAATTAAGTAACACATAAATCAAACAAACAAACAAAGGAAATCCAGGTCTCAAGAACTAAATAAATCCAGGAACATGACATGGCAGGCACATGGCAGACATGGCTCAACACCATTAAAAACAACGAACGAGCACGGGGCAGCAAATACAGGGAGACTAAATAGGAAGGCAAAGAGGGTAACCAGGGAAACTAGGTGAAACCAATAATCCATTAACGAGGTAACAAGGTGGGAGGAGCTAGACAATCCACAAGAGCACATGGCACACAGAGAACTCATGACAGCCATGCACTCACTGTAAACAAGACTATATACACAAACACAAGACCAGGAATGTCACGAAATGTCTCTGTCACCAAACCAAGAATAACCAGAATAGCTGTGACAGAAACGTGACAATGACAGCTTGACCAAGACAACACAGCCTGTCATAAATATGTCATAAACATGACATAGCAAATTCATTATGAAACTTAAGAAACCACTTATCTTTATGGGTGAATATTACATTAAACTGCCAGGTGGTTGGTTTTGACATTGGCTGTTATGAGGCAATTATAACATTTTAATGACAAATTAATCAAATTTGTTTTACAGTGGTACAAATTAAACAAATTTGTACCACTGTAGTTGAGGTCAAGATAAATATTCATGTCACACTTATAATTGCCTCATGACAGCCAATGTCAAAACCAACCACTTGACAGTTTAATGTAATGTTAACCCATCAAGCTAAGTGGTTTCTTAAGTTTGATAATTAATCTGCTATGTCATGACATATTTATGACAGGTTATGATGTATTGGTTTATGTCAAGGTGTCATAACAAAGACATCTCAAACAATGTCATATTTTTAATAAAACATGTCATAATTGAGTAAATGACACTTAATGACAGTTGTCATAAACATGAATAAACCCTCCTTCATTTTCATGACATGTGTCTTGTCATGATTATGAAGGTGTCATGTCAGCCTTATGCACACCAAATCTTTCAACTAAAGAGTTACCTAAAAATCACAGTTGCTTCACCAATTAGCAGGCATTTCCTCACTGTGGCTAAAGAAATATATAGAAATAGGGATACTGTTTATTGATCCTCAAAGGGGAAATTTGGTAAAGTGCTCTCACCAATGTGACCATGTTCTTGTTTTTAAGGGCAGAAAAATATGGCCCTGTCTACAGGATGAACAATTTTCATTATGTCATGATCATGGTTTATTGTCCTGAGGCTACAAAGGTAAATATTTAATATTTTATGTCTTTATGAAAAAAATAAATAGTAACCTATCTGAAGCCATACAGTCTAATAACGTAAAATCTCTGCCCTGTTATTGTAGACAGTCCTGATGTCACCTAAGTATCTCAAAGATCCCTTTGTCTACAAACGCCTCTTTAACTTGTTTGGAAAAAGGTATGTTTAATTTTTTCTGGATATGTCATAGCATTTGTCACGGTGTAACGATCACCAGCTGGAGAGCCCCTGAGAGTCACTAGAAGGCACTGCACACCAGACGATCATGTTTTTCTCACAAACTATATTTCCCATAACTCATAGCCCGGACTCATCAGCACTCATCTCATTCACCTGTTTCTCATTATCTTGTTTAGTTCACACCATAAATACCTTGTGTTCACATTCACTGATTGCGAAGTCTTGTTTTACTGTTGGTTGCAATTCTGAGCGTTATCCTCCTGAGTTTGATTCCTGTGTTTGACCTGTGGATTGTTTATCTTTGCTGACCCTTTTCTGCCTGCCCTGACCCTGGACTGTTTCACTGGACTCTGATTCTCTCTTGTATCTGGTTTGTCTCTGCCTTGTCTCCATTGCCCTGTTTGCTGTTGTTGATCCCTGCCTGTTTGACTACTCTAATAAATGCTGCGAATGTATCCCCTTGTGTCTGCTGCATCGTAACAGAAGACTTCGCCACTTCAGATCCAGCAGCCGAGAAAGAATTGACCAAAGATGAATTCAGCAGCACGGATCTCACCAGATCTTCCCAGTATGAGCCGGGAATTTGCGGGTCAGATCGCGGCCTTGGCCCTGGATAGCCCCGATCTGTTACAGTTCACGTGGGGGTTTATTCCTCTCGCTGCTTCCTGCTCCCTCGGAGACGAGGCAATTAAGTTGTGTGACCGGCTGGGGGCTAAGGAGTTCAACCCGAGGGAGCTTCCCAATATCTCCGGTCTGGACTGGAGAGAGGCACTCTCCCGATGTCTGGAGAGCTTCCTTCCACGGTACGCCGGGTCATCATCTGATCTCCATGCCCAGCTGGATTTTCATGCCCAGCCAGAGACTGTCCAGCCAGAGACGCTTCACGTCACTTCTGCCGAGCCAGAGACGCTTCACGTCACTTCTGCCGAGCCAGAGACGCTTCACGTCACTTCTGCCAAGCCAGAGATGCTTCACGTCACTTCTGCCGAGCCAGTGTCTACAGACAAGGTCACCGCCTCCGAGCCAGTGTCTATGGACAAGATGGCCGATTCAGAGACTGTTCACGTTACTTCTGCCAATCCAGAGACTGTTCACGTCACCGCCTCCGAGCCAGTGTCTTCGGACAAGATGGCCGCATCCGAGCTAGAGTCTGCTCCTGAGCCTGAGGTGGTGTCTGTTCCTGAGCCGGTGTCTGTTCCTGAGCCAGTGTCTATTCCGGGGCCAGAGCCTGTGTCTGTCCCTGTGCCGGAGCCAGTGTTTGTTCCTGCGTCTGTTTCTGTTTCTGAGCAGGTATCGGTTTCTGTGTTGTGTTTGACAACATAATCTGCAAAGAGCAGAGACGAAATCACGTGGTCCCCAAACCTGACACCCTCTGGCCCCTGGCTGCGCCTACCCCTCCCAGAGACCTCAAGAAGGCCGGGTACTCTGCACCGCCGTTTGGCCCGTAGGCACACACGACAGTGAGGGACCTATCCCCGACCCGTAGGCGCAGGGAAACGACCCTCTCGTTCACCGGGGTAAACTCCAACACATGGCGGCTGAGCTGGGGGGCTATAAGCAAATCTACACCATCCTATCGCCTCTCACCATGGGCAACTCCAGAGTGGTGAAGAGTCCATCCTCTCTCAAGGGGTGTGGTTCCAGAGCTTAAGCCATGCGTAGAGGTGATCCTGACTATCTCTAGTCGGAACCACTCAACGTCATGCATAATCTCAGGCTCCTTCCCCGCCAGCGAGGTGACGTTCCACGTCCCTAGAGCTAGTTTCCGTGTCCAAGGATCGGGTTGTCGAGACCCCCGCCTTCGACTGTCGCCCGATCCTCTCAAGGCGGCCCCACGTCGCTCCTTCGGGCTGAGTCCGGCAGGACCCCATGGGTGGAGGCCCAGGCCACCAGGCGCTCGCATACGAGCCCCAACCCCGGGCCTAGCTCCAGGGTGGGGCCCTGGCTGCGCCATACCGGGCGATGTTACAGTCCTTGTTTTATCTTCACTCATAAGGTTTTTTTGAACAATTTTTTTCTGACCCATCGCCTAGGACCTGTTTGCATTGGGAGACACTATCAGGGACACCATAGCTCCTAGGGTCGTTCGGGTATTCAAACCTTTGTGACCCATAAATGAAGAGGACCATTTATTTGTGTTACAATTACAAATTCATTATAAGTGTCTTCGAAACATACAAGCAACATAACATAAGTTTTTATATTTGAGTAAAAAATATATAATACATTTGGCTTATTCCACAGATATTAGAAGAACTCACACTTTTTGAGGGGCGGTGGAGTAGACTGTACACTATTTTTTACATTTTGCATTTATTATTATTTGTTATATTGAATGTATGTTTTAAAAAATATGAATTGAATACATTTTGCATTCTCAAATTATAGTGTGACAGCGGCTTAATTCATATTCGAATTTGAATATTTTTTCGGATTTGCTTTGCTAGTGGTGACGTTACAGTTACTCACATGACTCAATCTTCTCAGGTTCCTGGGGAATGGGCTGATTACGGCTGCGGACCATGACGTCTGGTACAGGCAGCGTCGCATCATGGATTCTGCCTTTAGCAGCTCGTGAGTCAAATATAGACAATCTCTGATAACTGAAATGTGATACAGATGCTCCTCAGCTGATGCCGTCTCATTGGTCAGATACTTACGAGGCTTGATGGGCACTTTTAACGAGATGTCGGAGCGCCTAATGGACAAGCTGGAGGAAATAGCAGAGACGAAATCACCTGCCGTCATGCACGACCTGGTCAACTGTGTCACACTCGATGTCATATGCAAGGTTTACCTTTCCTTTCTGCTAATCCAAGGGAAAGTAATACAAGGAAAGTCAAATCAGCTGTTGATCATTACTTAAGTAGCTGTTTTCATCCACAGGTGGCTTTCGGTGTCGATTTGAATTTCTTGAAGCAAACTGACAGCCCCTTCCAGAATGCAGTAGAGCTGTGTTTAAAAGGCATGGTGTTGGATCTCAGAGACCCATTATTTAAAGTAAGAATTTACTCACAATTGCTTATGTCACCCTAAAGTAGTAGGATTAATGATATATAATCTGTTTTTACTTGTTAAATGTGGGACCTCAGCTTTTTCCCAAGAATTGGAAGATTATACAGCAAGTTAAAGATGCAGCTGAACTCCTGCGTAAAACAGGAGAAAAATGGATACAAAACAGGAAGACAGCAATTGAAAATGGAGACGATATACCGCAAGACATTCTCACACAAATCCTCAGAACGGCAGGTATGTGTATTTTCCTTCTTCCATTTGTTCTACAGGTTTTTTAATTACATTTTTAATTATTTTCTAAATGTGCTTAAATTAACCATTTAATACACATTTAAAAACAATTTAAACTTAACAAGTGTGAAAAAATTACAAGTAATTTACCATTTGAGCAATAAAAAAAAAGTTTAAATAAAACACCAAAAAGTGAAAAATGCCGCCAAAAGGAATAGAGTCCAGGAGCCAGACACATTTAAAAAGTTAAACCGTATTTGTACATTTTAAACCTAATGAATGTGAAAAAAATTGGTAAATTACCATTGGAGCAGTTCAAGTTCAAATACAAGTTGGCCAAAAAAATACTTTATACAAATACAAATACTTGAAACATTGTCTTAAAATCGTAGCTCTCATGGTGCAAGATGCAACTTGATGACTGAAGACGTCCACGTCCATCTTAAATGTTTACATGGATCAACACAGGGCAAGAGTGGGGGCCATTTAAAAAAAAAAACAAAAAAAACAAAACAAGATACAGTTAAATAACAAATAGCATACTAAACTTTTTAATCAAACATTCTACAATCAAACTAAAATTAAAATTAAACACTGCACATACAAATTAATAAATCAAATAAATTAAAATGAATATCATACAGCAGTATCCACACCTGTTTGTTCTTCGATTTTGCCTGAAGTAAATTAGGGAATGAAACTGGTTAATCAGCAATCATGTAATTAATTTCATCCCAAATTTGAATCAGTAAATAGCCCTAATAACAACATATTCAACACAACACTGGTAGAGTTACTTAACTATTTAACGCTTTCCATTTTTGCTGCAGAGGAGGAAAAAGTTACAAACGCTAAAGATCATGAGCTGATGTTGGACAATTTCGTGACTTTCTTCATTGCTGGTGAGTAACGGCTTTGTTTGATTTTTGCTCATAAACCCCAGCCAATATACAGTAAACAGTGCCTGATTCTTTTACAGGGCAAGAGACAACAGCAAATCAGCTCTCGTTTGCAATCATGGAATTAGGGAGACATCCTGAGATATATAAACGGTAAATGCTAAAACAGTCCTTGGAAATTTGGACCTATTCCACATTAATTTGCATTACAATGCTCTAGTTTGAATTTCTTTTCATTCCCAGGGCTAAAGCAGAAGTGGATGAAGTTCTTGGGACAAAGAGAGACATTTCACATGAAGACCTTGGGAAATTCACTTACTTGTCTCAGGTTGGTCTACAAGCTGGGATGCCCAATCCTGTTCCTGTAAATATATCTTCCTGCAAAGTTCAGATCAAAGTTCAGTTGAGATCTTCTGGAGCACTTGTTAATTACAGACAGGTGTGCTGGATCACGGTTGGATAATGAACTCTTCTGGTAGGTAGATCTCCAAGAACAGGATTGGACACCCCTGTTCTGCAGAGATGGTCTTTTATGCTACAAACACAAATGTTTTTGTGTGCATTTCTTTGAATGGTCTTTGTGTTGTTGACTCAATGCAATAGGTCTTGAAGGAAACACTGCGACTGTACCCCACTGCTCCAGGAACCAATCGCTGGTTGCATGAGGACATGGTTATGAATGGGCTGAAAGTCCCAGGCGGCTGCTCTATTGTTGTGAGTATTGCCAGATTCCCAGTAATGCTGGTCTGGTCACTCTGTGGCCAGTGTTATACCTGGCTGGGGAAGCTATTTGTAGCTACAAAAGTACAGCTCCTGTCTACTTGAATGGAGATAGAAAAAAAATCTTCAACATTGTTTGGAAATATTATGTAACAGAGACAATCAAGAGTATAATGAATTTTAATAAAATTATGAGCGATTATGAGGGTAACGTTACAACTACATCTACCAAAGAATATATATAATACATGAAAAGTAAAAATGAAAGTAACACAAAGAGACAAGACAACAACAGATTACAGAATAGCAAACAAATAATGAATACCTTTGAGAACCAGCAGAGTATCAAATCACCTTAAGCAGGGAAATGTTCTACGCATTTACTTCTTAGTAAGATATTAAAAATACTTGCATTTTAAACCTCTGGTTGAAGCAGGACGGCGTGCGTGTTTGCCTTCAAGGTGTGCGTCTGTCGAGCTGAAGCGTTCTTATTGGATTCCTCCGGAGTGCGTGTTGTTGTGGGGAATTCAAACGTTCGACTGCGTTTCTGGAGAACTTCGTCTAAAATACGTCTCGCTCGTAGTTGAAATTGACTGAGCACGATATTAAACCAAATTAAAAAGTCGGTGGTACGACTTACAAAACAAAGGGAACAAAACAAAAATTGACGAAGGCTGACTAGAAAAAGGAAGACTAGAATGCAAGAGTGAAGACAAGTAAAGACTAGAATGAAAGATTAGAATGAATCGATGGACACCGGGTGTCTGCTTTTCTAGGATTCCTCCTGGGGAGCGTCAGACCAATGGGAACAAGATATTTCGAGCGGGAAAAACTTTCTTTGTCCTAGTTCCCAGTTTAATTTGCATGTTTTATGGCGGTGTTATTATTTGATCAGTTATACTCGTAACGAGGTTAAACTTAGTATATTACATTTTACCAGAGCCTGATGCATATATTTAGTTACAGTACCAAGAGAGCTTTACAGGGATGCCAAATACGATATCTTTAGGAGGTACACTTCGAGATAGAGGCTTATTTGTACGAATAAGCTTAAAAAGGTTCGGCTAACGTGTCAAATTATGCAGTTGCGTCTTGAACTTTACCAAGAATGTGATATTCACCATTGGGAAGGGACGATTGGACTTTTAGCACTTAAACTGTCACACATATAACCTGGTTAACCTGGAATACCAAAAAGTCAGCTTACCGAGAGGAGAAATCAGAAGGAAAGGCAAATTAAACACGTTTACACATTTATCCAGTGGTTATGCATAGTTATAGAATATATATAGGGTTAAGAAGGTTTCTATTGATTGAGCTGTGTTCTTCTGAAAAAATCCGTTCGGGGTCGTAAAGTTTTATGGTCGAGCAGAGGAAAGGATTTTAGGACAATATAGCGGATCATTCTTAAACAAAAATACACACTTATGATTCAAACTACACACTAGATACTCACACAATAAAACATAACATAACTAATTAAACATGCATATTTCATATGTCACCAACAAATTCTGGAAATAAATGCAGAGGACTGAAACCAGGTTTGTGGATGGGTGTCTGTGTATGTGTGTGTGGGGGTGTTGTGGAGAGTGTGTGTGTGCATGGCGAGTGTGGAGATAAGGGACTTCTTTGAAGTCCCCTCTGGAGTTCCGAGAGGTGGTCTGCGACACCTCACTCGATAACAAATGTGTCACAAGAGATCAATTTACTTCAGACTCTTCGGCACCATGTTAATTTACCGTTATGAGTTTAAAGGTTAAAAGCGTCCTCAAAAATATGTACTGAGTTTAGGAGTCCATCATGAATCCAAGGCATATGCTACAATTATATTTTAGTTAAAGTCCCCCTTTTGTCAATAATTATATCCCTTAAAACTAATCTTTGATCACCAGCTCAGAGATCCACTCGGTGAAGATCATATGTTGATCAGGGGTGCGTTTCCCGTACAACGACGTAGTTCGCTGCTTCACTACCATAGTACGATGCATCGTTGGAAAAATCAACTAGCTAGTCACGGCTGTTTCCCGAAACCCACTGTCGCAAAGTATCGTTCAACCACGTTGGTTTCGCACGTGGTGGAGTAATAATACTTTTAATGAAACTGTTTGAGATCCAATTAACGCTAGATTTGTTTTATATAAATTACAGACATGTCATCTGAGGACTATTTCTAATTGTTCTCAGTTGTTTTGCTTTATTACCAGACTCAATATTTGGCTCGTTCTTACATAGTAGAGCACGTTTCGCAAACGCAAACTCTTCAAACGCGGTACTTCAAATCTTTTGACAATCTAAAAGACGTAAATTCCATTTGTATGGATTCTAAATGAAAGGCACCGGTTGTACTGAATATCAGCTTGCTTATTTTGCTCAAGATAAGGATTTATTACCTCCAAATGTCATGCAATATATAAACGATGCCTCTAACCATAGGTCGAGAGCTGTCATTCAAACCACACAACTTTGCGATGCTGTTTGCGAATGTTCGTTGGAACGATGGTTTCGGGAAACACCGACTCGTTGAACTATGCTGATAATGACGGAACTTGCGACCATAGTTGGCTAACGATGCTTTCGGGAAACGCACCCCTGATTGGTTACAAGGTAGTTTGTGAATTCATAAAACACCAGCCATTTCAAACCGTGATTTGGTCTTTGGCTCACTGCAGTTTTAACAAGAAAATACTCAGCAATGGTGTCGACTTTAGAATTTGTACATGGTTTGTCTTAAAGCATTTTATAAACACCACATAGACATATAAACAACATTAAAAGCTTGATTTTGACTACAGGGGGGCTTGAAAGGGTTGGTTCACCCAAATTTGCTTGCAAATTTACTTTCTCTTTCGGACCACAAAAGGAGAATTTGTGAGAAAAAAAAATGCCCCGCTCACTCTCATCCATATAATGGCAGTGAATAGTGACCAGCAAAGCCAAGGCAACAGTGGCAAGGAACCAAAACTCAGGTAACAGACATTTTGAATTCTTACAAACTTGGGTGAGTCACAGTGAACTGTGGTGCTAATAAATGCTACAGTAAATGGTCTCATGAACATGCAGTCGTGCACAGAGGTCAGGATTTTCTTTATAATACATTCAATTTTGGTTGGATTTTTACCTAACCCTATCATAAATTCTCCTGGAACCATCACCTCACTGTAGTGGAGTGGTTTGTGTGTCCCTGCGAGCCTGGAGGGCTTTTTAAAGCTTAATCGCTGAGATGGTCCTCACTGCGGAACATGAAATCCATGGGGAGGAGTCGGATCCAGATCCAACTCATCCCACCTTACATACACCTAAACCTAACCAACTCCGCCCCCTGATCCATAAACCCAACCCTAATCTTACCCATCTCCACCCCTTGGATCGTGATCCGACTCCTCCCCGTGGATCTCATGTTCTGCATTGAGGTGCTACTGGGTTGCTTTTCACTGCCATTATGTGGATGATGCAGAGCGGGACTTTTTTTTCTTAAAACTCTCCTTTTGTGCTCTGAAAAAGAATAGAATACTTGCATTAGAACAACACAGGGTGAGTAAATTATGACTTAATTCTATTTTAATAAATCCGATAAATTTGAAACAATGGCATTATCAATTTTATTTGTTTAATTGTATACGAATACATGATTATTTTGAACCATTTTAATCTTTTTCCATACAGTTAAGTTCTTATGTCTCTCAAAGACTGGACAAGTTTTTCAAAGATCCGTTGAAGTTTGATCCTGAGAGATTTGATGTGAATGCCCCCAAGTAAGTCATGATGAGGACAAGCTGTAAATGAGTTTTATGAGGATGTTATAAACATAATAGCATTAAATCCGCTGATATCAAATTGTGTTCTTGTCTGAAAGGCCTTATTACTGCTACTACCCTTTTGCACTTGGTCCACGAACTTGTCTAGGGCAGGTCTTCTCACAGGTGATAAAACACAAACACACATTTGCACAATTTGCTTTCCATGTGCCAAATTTTCTGTGATCATAACAACTTTGTGTATTTCTACATTCAGATGGAGGCTAAAGTTGTGCTTGCCAAACTGCTTCAGAGATTCGAGTTCAGCCTGGTTCCCGGACAGTCTTTCAGCATTAAAGACACTGGAACTCTGCGCCCCATGAGTGGAGTGATCTGCAACATCAAACCATGCTAGGACATGTTTATGGCACTTGTTTTGTGTCAACTCTTGTGGACTTGTGTGTACTAACTTGTGTGTTAATATTTTTCAAATAAAGCACAGAAGTTGTAACAGGCTATTCATCTATGATACTTTTTAAATATATAATTATATACAGTGCTGGGTAGTAACTATGTACTCTGGATTATGTGATCAGATTCCAAAATGAAGTACTTGTAATTGGATTATATTACTTTTTAAAATACTCATAATCAGACTACAATTACTTTCCTATTGATTATATGATTCTTGATTACATATTACTCGGTTTCCCCATGCTGCCTTGCCGCAGCGCGATTTTATTCACGCTCATTCTCAATGACACATGGTCTGGCGATAGCCAGGATATATTACTCACACAATGGTAGTAAATTATTCATAATTCATTGATTCTCCCTAATTTTTAATTAATCATTTTTTATCTTTTAATACAAAAAATATATATCACTAAAATAATCCTTTTGAATGCTTCTTAAAAATACTTCATTTTTTAAACTATTAATTTATTTAATTGTGACATTTTTACAATTTAAATAATTATTAGCTTTTCATCACCTCACAAATTAAACTAATGTTTAATGCACTTCATTTTGTTAATAATAAACTCTGTTTGCATTTTTATATTAATATGGTTCAAGATTATCAAATTCAAATCGGTGTGATAAATGAGTTAGGTCAAAAGTAATCAAAAAATGTGTAATGTAATAGACTATGTTACTGACTATGATTTTGTCATGTAATTTGTAATCAGTAACAGACTACAATTTGTAAAATGATAGTTGATTAATATGAACACTTTATTAAACAAAATAGGAACTAATGAAACCACTGGTGAAAATGCTTGTTTTGCTAATTTAACACCTTTTCATTATAAATTATATTATCAAAAAAATTCTAAAACGTTTTGTTCATCAGATTTTAAAATGGTCTAATTGGACATTGTATAGGCCTGTGCCACCACTATGCCAAAAAGATTAAACAGTGAATCAAAACATAAATGCTGGTTTATGTGGGGTTATTTTTCTTTTGAAGAACAGTATTTATTTGGGTAACACTTTATTTTAAAGTGTCCTTGTTACAGATGTTACATGTACTTAACATAGTAATAAGAGTAAATTATGCCTAATTACATGCAACTAACCCTCAACCAAATCCTAATCCTATCCTTACCCTATATAATGAACCGGTACATGTAGTTACTTAATTTTACTCAGTACTTAACACATAATTACACAGTAACAATGACACCTTAAAATAAAGTGCAAAACTTGTTATTGACGTACGACAACCGTGTATTATGAACGTGTCTAAAGAAAAAGCATCGCCCTTCCAGGCCCCAGCGAGGATCGAACTCGCGACCCCTGGTTTACAAGACCAGTGCTCTAACCACTGAGCTATGGAGCCAGCTGTGGCAGCCAGCAGAAAAAAACTGTATTTGATCACGGCACATGTTTTATTTGGTGCAAAAAGCGTGTGAAATTGTCATAGACCTTCTTATTTTCCCCTTTTTAGCCAAATGATGTGCCAAAATATAACTTTACCACATTTTCCGATTTACCACCTCTTTATAGAAAAGATACGATTTAAATGAGATTGAGATTAATTGTTAAAGTATACAAGTATTTTATTTTTTTAAAAAAGAGTAAGTATAAAGAAGAAAAATATGTGTGACTTGCCAACCGACCAAAAATACTTTTTACGGATTGTTCGTCGATGGTTTCGTGGCCTGAAATGCCTGTAAGTAGTACCCGGATGAAAATATGATATTTGGCCACTAGAGGGCGAAGTTCACCGACAAAACTCTTCACAATCACGTTCTGCAGTAACATATGGACCGTTCTCATTTAGTCAATCATTGAAGTGAATGCTAGATGTGCCTTATAATACATATTTGTTGAATAGATGGGGTGATAAGTTAGGAAAACATATTTTGTGAGAAAATTAAAGCTTGATAGTTTTAATTCAAACAGCTAGCCTAGATAAAAATCTAAAATGTCCTAAAATAAAGTTCTGGATCTGATTTTATGTGATTATACCAGGGTTTTTTTGTAGTTTGTGATTGTAATCCCATATTTATACACTTTTATCCAAATCACATTTAATGTTTATCGGTTTGTCTGTTCAATTACATTTTTCACATTTTAGAGGAAAAGTAGGCTAATTTAGGCTATTTTGACTTTCTTTGAATGAAAGGCAGCCACGAGACATCTGCTAACCAAATATAGAATGGTCTTTAAAAATGGTTTGAAAATAATGACACGGTCGATCAACGTTCCATCCTTTATTATTTCCCTTTAATAAATAGAATAAAAATAATCTCCCTTGTGTTTCTTGTAGGCGCTGTCTCTTTAAGAGGGCAGATCCTGCTTTTTGCCTCTCATCCCTGAACCTGCTCAGATCCGCTCGGATCATTTCTCCACACACACCAGTTCAGAGGAAGAGCAGAACCCGAGAGAGACGCTGAACATCGACACACGTGAGGAGCTAAACTACAAACCCATTCTGATCTGAGCTCTGAAGCTTAACGTGAATGCAGGCATGCTTTGAAATGAAGGCTGTTTATAGTTATTTTTATTTTTTAAATATTGCCTTTGAAACCCAGATATTTCGTGCCTAAAGGATTTTTTTCTTGAGAACAACCCGCGTTTCATTTAAAACGATGCCCGTGCATGGATTTATATATCGTGTACATTTTAGAATATTTAAAATTATGCATGATTTCAAAGTTAGTGGTGAGTGAGCCGTTAATAAAGGTGATAGTTTGAATATAAATCAGTTTATGCAGTCTTGCAATTTTTCAAAGGGATTCCCATGAACAATATATGAATCCTTTTGGGTTTTTAATGCATTTTGTGCTTTTCTGGTGGGATTGAAACAGCATTATGTTAGATCTATGTTGAATATTTCACCCTGAGACTGTTCCTCTGTAAGAGTCATGATGGCAAAACACTGTCCTAACGATGACCTGAGTAAGATCTCTGATGATGAACTGATCCGATGGAGCAAGGAGGACTTGATTAAGAGGCTGCGAAGGGTTGATGGCGAGAAGATGAGCCTGATGCTGGAACATGGGAACATGATGAAGGACATCAACCGCAGACTGCAGGTGCACCTCCACGAGATCCGTAATCTAAAGGATATCAACCAGAAACTGCAAGACGATAACCAGGAGCTCAGGGAACTCTGCTGCTTTCTCGACGACGATCGGCAGAAAGGTAAGAAGCTGTCTCGGGAATGGCAGAGGTTTGGCAGGTATACGGCGAGCTCCGTGTGGAAGGAGGTGAGCACCTATCAGCAGAAACTCAAGGACCTGGAGGTCAACCAGGAGAACATTCTTCGGGAGAATTCAGAACTAAAGGAAATCATTCTCATGTTGGATGAAGACCGGAATGGAGCGGGATCAAGGAGTTCTATTGACAGCCAGTCCAGTCTGAGCAACCTAAATGGAGGTTCAGGAACTGTGAGAGATGTTGGTGATGGGAGCAGTACCTCCAGCGGTGGAAGTGCGGGAAGCCCAGACCATCATCTTAATCATTTACACAAGACTGTAGAAACCAAGGTTGGCACCATAAGACGATCGATGGATGATCTTTCCACTCCACATCATCACAGGAGCATCCCCAACGGACTCAATGGTGAGTAAACTGCTTTGCCACCATTATTGTCTAAAAACCACAAGGAAAGTTTTGTGTCTATCAGTGCATATCTTTTAGCTTTGAGGTCATATAAGTACACAATTAAGTCTTTAGGTCCTTGCACACTAAGTCCTAAGTTTTTATATCTGTTTTTTCAGATTTGCTATCCTACAAATTCGTCACGCACAGCACAGACACCTTGCACACCGAGTCCAATGCGTATTAATTAATCCGTTGCGAAAAAATTTGCAAAACAATACAAAATGGAGTCTTTAAGTGTAAAGATCATTTTGTTGTCCTCCTTATCAAGGAAGGAGCTAAGGGATTATCCCGAGCGATTCAAAAATGAACACCAATTTCCGTGAACCAATTGATCCTGAACAGTTCTGGATTTTGGCGTGTGCTTGTACGGTGGCTCTGAATTGTCAAAATGGCTGCTACGGATGCGAAAAACGCATCGAACCCGATCTGAATTTTTAAATTTCGGGCGAAGGTTTCGGAGGCAGTGTGTAAATGTGATTGACACAATGTGAGGTTAGCGTGCGGAAATTTCAGGCTCATTTTTTTTCGAAAAACAAACCAAAAATTCTGATGACTCATCTTGCACTAGGGGGTGTGTCCATTTTTTTCTTCAATCAAAGTCTGTCTAGAATGAGAATGTCCCACTTATTTAAAGGGCTAGTTCACCCAAAAATGAAAATTAAGTCAATTAAGTGTTTCATTAATTACTCACTGTATTAACCCCGTAAGACCTTTGTTCGTCTTTGGAACACAAATGAAGATATTTTTGATTAAATTTGAGAGGTGGATCACTGCTACATAGGCTCCTAAGGGATCGAAACTTGAAAGTCAATGAAGAAAATGTTTAAATATTCCATGTGACAACAGTGGCTCAACGATAAGTTTATCAAGCGACGAGAATACTTTTTGTGCGAAAAAACAAACAAAAGTAACGACTTTATTCAACTATTCCTTTTCTTCCTTCTGGGCCTGATGCGAGAGTTCAAGAGATTTCCATGACGCATGCGCCAGAATTGCGATCTCCCTCAACTACTTCAGTTTAGTTCTCGCGCATGCGTCGTGGAAATCTCTTGAACTCTCGTCTCAGGGAGGAGTTTCGATCCTTTGCTTAGGCAGCCTATGTAGCAGTGATCCACCTCTCAAATTTAATCAAAAATATCTTCATTTGTGTTCCGAAGACGAACGAAGTTCTTACGGGGTTGGTACAGCATGGGGGTGAGTAATTAATGACTTAACTTATAATTTTTGGGTGAACTAACCCTTTAATAAAGAGCTGGAGGACCCATGATGTCACTGCGAAACCTTATTGGTGTTCCCACACATGCTACTTTCTTAATTAGCAAACATCTGATTTAAATGTGTGAACATTACCCAACCGGTTTTCTATATGAAATTTCAGTGGAATACCCCTCCCCCTAAAATATAAATGCAAGTGCCACATGCCTCTGATTTATAATTACAAGCAATAAATCATGGCTCATGACTGCGGCATAAACGAAAGTGTATTAGCAATTCAACACAATATTTCCTGTCAACTTACTGTTTCAATTTGAAATATGTATTGTACACAGGGGAGAAAACTGCATTTCATGTGGGGTTTTAACAGTATTGCTCATTAATCTGAGGTATGAAGTTTTAAGATGATCACTTGAAGTTTATAACACTTAGAACAGAATGGAAGGCTTGATTTCAAAGAGCTATTTAACTAATAGCGTTAGCATTATAGGCATCAATCATTTCCTGACGCTTTAGTTTTAAGTTCTGTAAGTAATATGAATCTAGAGGAGCAAATGTCCAAAATAGCTTGGGTGAACTAATGTGAATGATTATATTGCTATTTGCTAGTATGTAGTACTTGACTGTAAGCTAGTGTTTAGATTTCACACTATTACTGAAGATCATGTAACTAATTACCCCTGTGGTAATTACTTGAATCACCACAGATCAATAAAACAACAGTATCACATGTGAGTGCGGCCTTGAGTGAAGGTCTGGTGTTAATTGCTTTTGCAGTAGGTCGGGTGTATGGATTTTGGATGTGCTGATGGTCTTGTGCTGCAGAAGGGCTTACAAAAAGAAATCAATGTGATCAACACCCTAACACCCACATGAGCTGACTGTTTGATAGCTGTAATGAAATGGCGTGTTAAGCCTGGCTTTAGTTGTACTCCCAACAATGCCATGATTTCAGATGACAAGACCCTATTGTGCTTTTGAAGCGACATCTGAAAATGCTTCCTGTTGAATTGGCTAGCTTTAGATTTTTGAGTCTGCATTTAACATAAATGCCAATTGACAATGTTTAGAAAGCTTGTAATGTGTGAGCATAGATTGACCAAATATGATGTTGACCACTGATGCATTTAAAACACCAGTGTTTGACAACGTATCGTTTTTCGGTCTTACTTCTGCTGTCTTATGCTTATGAAGCATCTCAAGTCATTTTTCACCCCAAATCAAAATGAATAAATTTTATTGTGCTTAAAAAATAATTGTGGCTATTTTTAGGTCCATTGAGATTTGTGGCAATTTATTGTGGCAATTAAGCACAAATATCATTAGCATAAGGATAAAAAACTTATTCTCATTACTGAAATGCAAAAAACGATAGTATTTTATTTAAAGGGGCTATATGTAGAATTCAGAAACCCTAGTTATTAGTGACATCGGTGGCCGTCGAGTGAACTGCGTTCATGCTGCTGAGAGCGACGTTTAGATGAATATGTAAATAGCCTTTTTACTGCACACTTTTCTCTCAATAACAAAATAAACACAACAAAAAATGACAGCGGTTAAAAAACAGCAGTTCAGAAAGCATCTGATCATTGCTTTGTTGATGTTTACACAAGGTCTATCATTCACTGGCATCATGTCGACAGATGAGGTCATTAAAATTACACAGTTACTGTATGTTCACACCGCCGCCGACTTGAGCTTCCAAAGCGGCCGGAAATCATTCATTTTCAATGGAAGCTGGCTTTTCTCAGCTGCAAGGAGCATCAAATCCAATCGGCGTCGCGATTTGGGCGTTTTGAGTGTCAATCAGAAAGTTGAAAGAAGCTGAACTTTATGGTAATGAGCTGTGGCAAAACGCCAGCAACCAATCGGAATATAGACGTCCTTCGCGCTGGCTTATTCCAGAGAAACATGAATGTAAACTTTCGTTCCTACCAAAACATTAGCTCCAAGAAAATGAAAGAGAAGCTAATCATCGGCGTTGCTGTGTTTCCGACTGGTTTCGTATCATTTATTTATATTTATAGGGACCGCATGAGCGCAACTTTTATTTGAAATATTTACGAACCCTCGTTTTAAAGCGGGAATGCAATTAATTTGCTCACGGTGACACCGATTTTACCGCAATAATAATAATAATAGCTAACTATTTTTTTTCCCGACCAAATGTGACCAAAACGGTTGTCATTATAAAAATGTTGTCATTATAAAAGTTTCTTAAATGTATTGCTTGTTTTTTTTTCTGTTTATTACATTTCATGTTGTGACACTTCTATTCTCCCTGCAACGTCAGAGCGTCCAAAGCGTCAACAAGCTTCCCCGTACTTTTTGACAAGCGTCCTTGACAGGGCGGCCAGAGCTTCTTTGAAGTCGCTCAAGTCGGCGGTGGTGTGAATGTACAGTTATGGTAGTTTGATTATAATTAGAGACTATAGATCTGGCTCTGTGAGACTATAGTTTGAATCAATCCCTTTTCTTTGCATGACTCATTGACATTAAAGTACAGAATAGCTCTGTCAACATTATCCTGAACATTGTATAAGCGAAACGAATTTTCATGTGTCATTGAACGGGAGAGAGGATCTCATCACATCCTTTGAATTTTCTCAGCCAAAATGACTTGAATCCTTTGCAGAAAAATCAGTCCACAGACTTTCATAGCCAACTAAGTAAGGGAAGGTCTTGTTTTTTAAGTTTCGTTACAAGCTGTTGACACATTTGTCATTACAATGTTACAGTCTCTCATCAGATTCAGCCATTTCCACCCTGATAAACTCTCCATGGCTTGTGCACAACATGGTGGTCCACTTTGATCTTAAAGAGAAAGGCCTGTCGCAATGCCATCTTTTCCAATCGATGAAATCAGTTTTATCATGGTTAAGCCCCTGGGGGTCAATGTGTGTGGCCTGGATTTAATGGGTGGTGCAGTGTCATTTAATATGATGTTAGGTAGAGTGCATACAGTATATGTTCGGATGGAGTGTGTATCTTGATTCCACAGGGATCCTCAGACTGGCTAACAGCCGTAGGAAGGTTATAAATGTGTGAAGTGGGACCTGTGGAGGTATTTGCCAGAGATATTGGCTAGTGTAAGGCAAATATAGAGTGGATGGATTTGAGAGTGTGTGCATGAGGTCCTCTGCTCTCTTTCCTCCTTAAGGGGTCTCATCAATCAGTCGAGCCGTTGGCCGTCCCAATGCACAGATGGTGCTGCGGTAATCTTAAGAGACAGGTTCATATTTCATCGCAGTGTTCGATCCCAAGCTGTGTTGCACAACTGCTCACAACTCTGTGGTTTCAACAAGAATTGAAGCCTTCACACACACAGAAAGGAAGGAGTGCTACATTGCTAGCATATTCTACCACTGGTTTCTGTGGGCAACATTTTTGCAATTCAGATTTCGAAAGAAAATCAAGATCCTGTGAATCACCGTCTAACAAGTGTCCTGATGATTATCATGCATGTAAAGCATGCTAAAGGGTTAGTTCACCCAAAAATGAGAATTATGTCATTAATTACTCACCCTCATGTAGTTCCGAGCCCGTAAGACCTCTGTTCATCTTCGTAACCCAGAGTTTTCTGTCCCTCCATTGGAAATGTATTTACGGTATACCGTCCTTGTCCAGAAAGGAAATAAAGACATCATCATAGTAGTCCATGTGACATCAATGGGTTAGTTAGAATTTTTTGAAGCATTGAAAATACATTTTGATCCAAAAAGAACAAAAACTACGACAAAAGCTTTTGTCAATAAAAGCTTTTATTGGACTAACAAGGACGTTTTCAGTTCTGAAACTTACAAGATATTCTTATAATATGATGACCTCTTAGATGTCAAAAGCTCAAGGAAAATTTGATTTCTCAGTTCATCACCCTTTTAATAGAGTGCTCAGGTTAATTCTAAAATCAATGGTGATATTTCACGGCATGGGCTCCATTGTAATTTCAAACTTTTTTTTTTTTTTTTA